GATCTTTGATGCGCATACCATCACAGGCATCTAAAGCCGCTGCTCATGATTGCGCCGAATGGCGCAGGTGTCAGTCAATCTTACCCTAAATAGTACCTTGTGTGCTGACGGATTTGACAAAAGAAAAGGAAGAAGCAGAGACGGGCAAGCTTGAGGGCCCTTTGGTGTCTCGCATATAATCCGTGAGAAGGGCAAGCTTGAGGGCCACAACTCAAAAGATACATCCAGGGAAGAATACAAATGGCTAGTCAGAAGGGGAAGGGTTCATATTTACCTCGCATATCTTTCTCTCGTTCGAATACGACAAAAGCATAGCCTCGATGGGGCTTCTTCTTCTTGTTTGGCTTCTCGTGAGCGTGAGTATCGACAACGATACGAATCTGTGGTGGTGTCAGTCTCTGGCTATACGATGTTTTAATGACGATTGCATACACGCTCGATGGGGCCGTAGCGACCAAATTCTTTCTCCAGATCCCTCTCATCAGCATCGTAACTGAGACGCGCGACCATCAAAGTCTTGAACGCATCGCCACGAACGTTGGGGTCCTCGTTTGGCTTATCTGTTAGCCACGTTAGCATTTATTTTGTAGCGGAATTTATGGTCTCCTGACGATGATCGGGCGCTTCTCTGAGGAGCGTCTCCAGCTTCTCCTTCTTCTCTCGCTTCTTGCGATCGCGGGCTTGCAACCAACTCTCAGTGGGGTTGTAAACATCAGTTTCCTTGTACTTCTGGAGTTCCGGGAGAAACTGTGCGACACCGGTGATGGGGGCTGTCGTGCGGTGCTGAGGCGCATGATCGGGCGGCTCTAGGAATCGCAGAGGTGGTCGCGCCGCGAAGAGCGCGAGCAGGTTGGGGGGGAGCTTGTCGGTCATGGCACTATCTCAAGTCCAACGAGGTGAAAGGAGCGACAGATGAAGTTATTACCCAAGAATGAATAGGCGAGCGTCAGCGATAAAGGACAGACAGAAGAGCCGAGAATGGGCGGAATTTAATTGAAGTTGTCGCGCGTTCGTTCGTGGGGGAAATTAATCCTTGAGCCTGCCTTGGACTCGAGGGATGCCTTGCAGCGGCTGAGGCGTTCTACCAGCCGATGTTCTGCCGACACACACTAAGCCGAAATGGGACACACTCCGCTGAGAGCTGATTTTCTGGTGATAGCCTCTCGGCACGTCAATTCTTTCTGGCTGTTATCGGATCATTTTGGTACTTGATACGGCCACACAAAAATGACTGTTAAGGCGATAAGACAAATAGCAAAGGGCCAGGTATGTTCAATGTGACGATGTCTTGGAGGCATAAGTGCTGACCTCTGCAGAATGGCCTCGGCGCATTTATCCTCCAGTGCAAGAAGTTAGACTTCTACTACTGTGACTGGGCCGGTAGCTCCAAGGGTATGAAGTATGTAAAACAAACACTCCCAATCTTCTCAGCATTGCCTTACCTGATAATAGTGGCTTCATCAAGTCTCTTCTCCCCAAGTTCGCCGCCGCCAACCCTCAAGTCGAATTCTCCATCTCCCCTCGACCCGGAAAGCACCCCGTCGTTGTCGGTCACTACATCAATGGTCGAACTAAGCCTATCTGCGTACGAAACCTATCACCATACGAAATCCTTCAGAAGGCCGAGTTATTGCGTGATGCTAGCGGAGAGAAGCTGAAACGTTACAACAAAGCCGTCAACAGCGCTCAACCAAGTGTGCGTGGCGTCTGGTCCCCATACCACGGCAAGGGAATGGTTGTTTAAGAGCTGGCTTCTAAAATTGGGTTTTCTGTACATTTATGTGTTTTGTAAACAATATTGGGCCTGCTTGTGGCATTGGGTTGCGAGGAAATTTGTACGATTTAGAGCAAGATGTCTATGATGTGAGGGGCATGAATAACAACTACTACTCATCTTCACCGCTGGCTGAACGTCTATGCTCTAGCAAGATTTCCCCCCGTTTCTTGCGATAGTTCAAAGTTCCAGAATCACCTGAGGAAAGTCTTTCTCTTATAATAGAATCATAGCCGATTATTCATGGGTATAATCATTTTTGTTTCATTCATCATCTATCTATCTGTTCCTATGTGAAGGTATCAAAGACCTCGGGGAAACAAGACTTTTTACTTTTGAAGTCATGCATTTACTGCTTGGTAGCGTTGATGATGTCGACGACTAGAAGTATCAGTTAGCACGTGCCATTGAAAGCATATGAGGAGGACTCACAAGCAGGCTTGAGAGAAGCACCGCCAACAAGGAAACCGTCAATATCGGGCTGCTTGGAGAGCTCGCCGCAGTTCTTCTCGTTGACACTGCCGCCGTAGAGGATTCGGGTCTCGTCAGCAACCTTGTCGCTGATACCACGGAGGAGGTCACGGATAGCCTTGTGGACCTCCTGAGCCTGCTCAGTGGTAGCAACCTTGCCGGTGCCGATAGCCCAGATGGGCTCGTAGGCAATGACAAGGTTGGACCAGTCGGAGATCTGGGACTTGAGGGACTCGAGCTGCTTAGAGACGAAGTCGATGGTCTTGCCAGCCTCACGGGTTTCGAGGGTCTCGCCGCAGCACCAGATGACCTTGAGGCCGTTCTCAGTGGCGTACTTGGTCTTGGCGGAGATGGTCTCGTCAGACTCGCCGAGGATCTCACGACGCTCAGAGTGACCGAGGATGACCCAGTTGATGTCGCTATCCTTGAGCTGGGAGACGGAGATCTCGCCGGTGAAGGCACCGTTGGGCTTGTTGAAGACGTTCTGGGCGGCGACCTCGATGTCCTTGCGGAGGGTCTCACGGACGAGAGGGAGGTAGATGGCAGGAGGAGAGACAACAACCTCTGCGAGCGTGTTAGTTGATGTCGCCCCGGCAAAAGGAGTGAAGGGGTTCTGTTGAGCAACTGAGATGATGCGCGGGGCAGGGGAACAGAAGAATGACGTACCAGCGTTCTTGTCGAGATCAGCGTTGTTGAGGTTATCGACAATCTCCTTGATAGACGACTTGGAGCCGTTCCTATAGAGAATCAAGGTAAGCTTCTGAGCGACTCCAAGAAATATCTGCGGCCTTTTTGCTTCATGGAGGGGGAGGGGCAGCAAGAAAATCGATCGACCTGAAGAGCAGAGCGAAGCAGATTGCTATGGCGGGGTAGAAACTTACATCTTGAAGTTGCCGCCGACGAAGAACTTGCGAGCCATGATGAGAGTATTAGTGTGAAATGATGTTTTTAGAGAAGATGGACTTGGGCGAGGAAAAATTGAGGCAGATGAAGTAGAATGAGAAGTGGTGTTATGAGTAGGGGAAAGCTACCTTATGTAAATGGTCCCTCAGTAATGGATATTAGTAGCTCAGCTACCTACGTCCCCGTCTCATGGTGGGTAAGGTAGGTAGGTTGTACTTTAAGTTGGGCCGCTCAGGCCAGATCAAGTCAGGTCATGAATTATCGACAGATAACCAGGATATGGATCAATGGATTCAGTTTTGGATTTAGTAGATTGTCAGGGGGATAATCGAGTACAATGACACCATAGTATGTGTATTTCTGGTCAGAGCAGCCAGTTCATTCATATTCCCTCTATAGGTAGTAGGCAGCTCAACACCCAGATAGCACTTACAAGAACACATTGACCCTCTCTCTTCCTTGCGGCAGAGCTCGGAGCTTGTTACCGTTCCTTATACGCTGCCCCTCCGTTTCTCTCCTTCATCCACTTGTCCGTCAATCACTACCCAGTAACGCAATTTGATGTGACATATATACAGTCCAAACCAAAAGACTTCCAGACGTTTCTCTGCCGTGTCGTTTTTCTTTTTTTTTCTCCTTGGCTGATCCAACGCAGTAGCGTCATAGTGGAGGCTCAAGGACCTAACAGCCATCATTGGCCTCCACTAACTGACAACCTTGACTACTAATGTACGAGATGGGTTGGATGCTATGTACTGAAACCACCGAGACCGTGACCGTGACCGAGCCGACATCTCGGAGCTACTCAACGCAGTTGTCGTGTCATCTACCGACCTTGACCTCTATAAATCATAATCTCTACAGTCCCGGTGATGCGGAGTGAGTGAGGTAAGCCTCAACGACGGAGGAAGTGGAGGGGGAAACAACCCCGAAACAGAGGAGCTGCATTCACTATCCCCACGATCTGGTCCCGGAGACCATGGCCCTGATTCTCCCGAAAAACTACAGGTTTCACCGCTGATCTTGACTTGTTTCTCGCCCTTGGATACTGCATCTACGATGTATCTGCAATGAATCTAGGACCTTGAAACCATGTACATGGATAAGAAAAAGGCCCTGTTCCGTCTAACAACGTCACTTAGTCGGGCTATGAATACTGTCGACCCATACGCCGTAACTATGTCAGGCCATTCTGAAAAACATTTGCACAATTACACCCGCATGTTACCAGACTCTTCTAAGAAAAAAAAATTCGATTGAACTCAAATCCTATCTGCAGCAATGCTATCAATATCAAAATTCCTCCCAAACAAAGTGTCTAAATCTGCTACCCTTTCCTGTTGTCAAGGGCCATCTGTTGTTGTTGTTGTACTTGCTCACTGTGAAATCTGTATCAAACTCATATCAGAGTGATCAATGTGTCTGTTGTCATCCTCGCGACATCCCCCATTTTTCTTCTCAGCTCGACTCTGAAGTCCTTGGTGTTTGTTTCTCCCGTAACAGGGACTCCGTTATCATCCTGGCGCAGTAATAGCGCAATCCTTTGGTTGACATCTGTGGTCCTTGTCCTTGGATTGAGGGATTCCGGTTGTAATGCAGTGCATCCGTTCCTAGGAAAGAGTCTACTCGGCTGGACATGTCCTTCTGTCGTAGATCTGTGGCATCATTGCCCGTTCCTTGGGACGTCTTCGAGATTCAGAATTTGTCTCTGTATTAGACGGACTTCTTTTCTCTGCCTGTGCACTTGCACAAATCAATTTCAGTGTTTTTCGGTAGCAGACAAGACTCGCATGTCTGACATATGGTTAGTTTGATCCAGGTCTATATGTCCAGACAACTACTTACGAATCATTCAGCCAGTGCCAACCAGCGTGTTTCCTGGGTTGTTGATGGCATTGAGGTCGTTGGTAAGCTTCATCATGGAACCCAGACGGTTCTGGAGAGTTCCAATGTGCTGGAGGTTCTGGGTATCCTCAGGCTTGATGAGGTTTCGCACGAGGCTCTCCACAGCCTTGCGGTGCTCCATCCACTGGTCAATAAGGGGCTGGGTCATGTTCTCCTTGGGCTCCGGGGGAGGAGGCATAGACTTGACAGTCGCCTTGCGGCTGTGGGAAGTCTGAGCCTCGGCAGTCTCAGTCTTGCGCTTACGTCCCTTAGCAGGCTGAGCAGATCCAGTTGTAGGTGAGCCGCTGGAGCTTCCGTGGTCGTTGTGAACACGCTTCATGTGGTCACGCAAGTTCCACTGGCGAGGGAATCCATTTCCAGGAACGGCGCGCTCACAGCCCTCATAAACACAGAGGAAAGGCTTGTCGCCATGACCATGGAGTCCGTGGGCCTCACGTTCATGGCGGAGGAGGCAAGCAGTCGACGAGAAGCGGGCGCCCTCGCACGACTCAGCCTTACAGCGGTAGGGCTTCAAGTGGGAGTCCACAAATTTGCTAGCTCAGTCAGTATACATTATCTCATTGAATAGACTTCTAATTCTTACTCATAGTTGCACTTTAGCTTCTCGGGTCGGTGGTTGCAGCTTGGTTGTCCTTCCCATGGGCAGTGATAAAGTCCATCCTCGTATGGAGCGGCCTTCTTGTATAGGTCATGGTCCCGAGCTGACTCACCATCGCTGTTCTGTCGTCGTGGACCGGTGAAGGCAGAGGTGGCAGCAGGAAGCTCGTCAAAAGTGGTCATGGCCTTTCCATTGGCATCTTCAGAGATCAAAGGGAGGTTCCGATCCAGGCTAGAACAGTCGACTTGGTAAGAAACCGGATCAGGGGTCACTATGCGGTTGGGGGCTACGTACCTCGGTGACTGGCACTGAATCTCAGGAGATGAGTTTGGGCTCTGGTTCGGGAACCACAAATCCTCAATAGTGTTGGGAGAAGATGATCGAGAGATGGAGCTAGAAAAGCAGTCCCAAGGGCTGGGAGGAGAGTTCTCGACCAGGGAAACATCAGGACCAAGCTGCATGTGAGAGGGAACGACATGCAGAGGGTTGGCATCGGGAAGAGAAAAGGTGGCATCACCGTTCAGTCCACCGTCAAGGGAGTAGCCGGGCCAGTACATCTGGTTCGTAATACCATCGGTGGGATCCAGGAGGCAAGTATCAATCCCATGCAAGGTAGCACCGGTCTGGGTTCCAGTCTGAAGAGCGGAAGCATTACCTGTGAAGTCCATGTTGGACAGATGTGATGATTGTGACAGCGAAGAGCCGCTAGACCTGCTTGAGCTCACCCTGGACATGGCTTGTCCACCTTGGGTCACAGAAGCGGTAGTCCTGGATGTGGACCAGTTTCCTTGGGAAGGCACCCTGGTTCCTCGGGGCGTAGCATGGCCAGATGTGAAAATGAACTCCTCGGCTTCTCCGGAATGGGCGGATCCATTGTCTGAGAAATCTTGAAAGTTCTGTGGTCCTTCTACTGTCGTGGCCCATGACGAACCTGTCAACAGGTCCGCTGATGGTTCTGTTTGAGAAGAAAAAGAAAAGAGTCCAGTGTTGTGGGCCAATGCTGGCTGAGAGTAGCTGTAATCGCTGGGGAAGGGTCAGTGTCCCGTTCGTCGCAATATAAAAGCAGAGAAAAGCAAAAGTAGAACAGCAAGAAACAAGACTGAAGTCATAACTCGGAATCAACTTTGAATCTGTTATTAGGTTAGCATTCGAGACAATTTTCATGTGGCATTAGTTTACAGACCAAGTATGACAGTGTGAAGCATAGCCTAGGATTAGATCTTGCATTCTGTCGAAATCCTGTGGGTCATCCATGGATCATTGTTGTAGCCAGGCAAGGTCGTCAATACAGTAATCAAATCACATCGAATCCGGCAGTGTTCCTTTGGCAGGTTGGGAATGTTGAATCTGTTGTCGTCAAGTCCAGTCCATCAATCTAAGTATTCGCAGAAAAACAAGTTGGTATAGCATCATGTATTGTCGATGTTGAAATTCCAGTGTCGATTGAGCAGAACAATGAGATCCTCGGCGACCATTGTGGTCCGGCAGAGAACGTCCAGTAGAAAGCATAATCGGTGTCCATGAATTGAAGTCCAGTGCGGCTGCACGAAGAAGCAATCAGATTGGATTGCAGGCCATTAAGCCAGATGCTACCTTGATGTCTAACACCGCTAAGCGGTACAGAAGGAGCAGAGTCCAGTCGGAAGTCTATGGGTCGTGATGTCCTGTCGAAATACAATCCGCATATGAAAGGTCCATATCCAGAAAACGAGATCAGAGGAAATGGTCCATTGTCCTTGGGTCGACTCCTGATATCCGGAGAAATCCTTGTGGCCCATAAAAAGTCCAGGTTTGACCTCCAGGCGACGAGCTGCTGATTCAATTTGAAAGCGGGCAATACTCACAAGGCTCATGGCCAGTATATAATATTATTGTTCCATGTCCGGGCGGACAGATCCAGTCAACTTGAGTCCAGGGGCTTGTTGTCGTGATCATCCATGGATATATCAAGGTCCTTTGAGATCCAGAGAAAGAGTTCCGGGACATATCCTTGGGTCGAGTTGGACACAGTTTTCCTGGCTTGGTATCCTTGGATAGAAGCAAGATTGTCGGTATACATGATTTGCGAGCAACATGATTGAAAAAGCAAATGCGAACCTCCCAGGGAAGAGTAAGAAAAACAGTACCTGGACAACGAGTGAACCTCATCGAGGTCAGAGTTCTTGAAAGCGTGCATGGAAGCAGGCTGTGTCACAAGAGTAACAGTCATTGTATCCTCGGAATGGAGAGCAAATTTGAGCTCGTGGATCAGCAAAGAACAACGTTAGGACGTTGTCTTGCACGTTCAGGCCAGTGGCAATCTGTCGAGTTGTTGGTGTTGTTGCGCGACAGGATGGATCCTTAGGCTGATTGGGTTGCTTTCAATTCCAGGTGGAAGATTGAAAACTTTGATAGTTGTGTGAGAAAGAAGGGCAAGAAAGGCTTGGTAGTCTATGAAGCATGAGACTGAGTGGTGGGTTGGGTAGTAAGAGGCGAGAGTTGGGCAGGAAAATTAAGGAGCAGAAGGGAGAAGTTGGGCAACGAGGGATCCTGCGGGTTTTATTGTCATAGAAGCCTGACCTGCTAACACGACAGGGTTCCACTATCCATGTAACTGCCGCAAAACGCGGCCATTGTCTGGTCGCAGGAGTGAGTTGGCGTTTGTGATTTCAGAGTGCAGAAACCGGTGTGTTGGACTATTGCAAGGATCAGCACAGAAGGGATGGGCCAAAGCGACGAGCGACTGGTTAACTTCCCTGATTTAGGATGGGTCAGGGTGGAGATAAGGCCTGGTCCGTTATCCTATCACCTAGCATCAACCTATGAGAGGAAGGGATAATGGCTGTTGGACAACGCATCAATGCATCTGCGTGAGCGCAAAACCAAGTTGGACACGGATGCGTTGCGAAAAGATGTGAGGAAACATGGTCGACGGGAGAGAAAATGAGAGGTTGGCCGAGATTGCGTCCAGATGGTCATTTCGCCTGTGTTGCGAACGATTAATTACTGAGGCTGATCATTGAGGCATTTGTCCTTGGGATGAAAACTAGTGTCGGACTCAGCAGCCTCCGTATTGGACCGCAAAGTATCTCAGAGCTGGGCTCCTGACGATCACTTCCACCACAGCCTCAAGGATTTACAAGTCGCGAGTTAACGAGAAACTCTGCCATTCTCGTCTCTGTCAGTTTGGCCATGTCTTCGTGGCCGTGGCCCGCTGCTCTATTGTCAGAAGTGACCCTCCTTTACTCTCAAGTCCTGCGGCCAAGTCAGCATGGGTGGATTAAACAAAGCAACCATTGCCAACCAGGCCACATCCTGTGAGCCAATATGCAACAGACGGCACACCGAGTATGCCGCTTATCACCCAGGTGCTTTATCTACGTCCTGTGATTGCTCATGTAGCAGACCGCAACAGGCGGGGTAGGCCTTGGTCTGTTTTTAGTAGGCCTTTGATGTCCGTTAGAATGATGAGAGCGGGCTACAAAATGGGCCAGCGAATCGCTCGTGGCATACATACATGACACACAACGGCGGTCAAGAGTCTGTGAAATGCACATGCAAATGCAAAATCAGGCGGCTGAGGCGCGATGACAGAATGAGAGAAGATGGCGAGACGACAAGCCCAAACAATCAAGTCATAAGATGGCCCAGTCCCAGAAATGGTTGGTGATGAGGCATTGTCGCTGAAAACACTGACCAGGCCGGCGTCTGCCGATACTGACTGACACAGGTGAGCATAGAAAGGAGACGAAGCTCAGGCAAAATCATCTCGATTCGATGCGTTGTTGATGTTTGATTGATGGGCCCTGATAAGTCCGAGCCACCCGCGATTTTGAGTTTACCGTACTGTACCGTACTTCCTTCTTCTTCAACGGGAGCGCCGTTCCGTACCTTCCTTTCCCTCCACCCCGTCCATTCCCCGTATTTCCTACCTGGGAAAGTTGCTAGAAGGAACAATGGAAGGAAAGGAGAAAACGGGAAGCGGCCCGCAACTCCACGTGATGGTGAAACCGTCTCAGCTTTGTTATTGCTGAACACCAAGTTAAGTACCTACCTAGGTAACCATCTGAATTTCATCTCTTCCTCCACGGAAAACTCTATGTATTCTATGAGTTGATGGCCTCGCATTCTACCGTCAGCCCAGCCGATGTCTATCTTCCGGGTATCTCATCGACCCTTCTCATTGGCCTTTGAACCACGATGTGCCAACACCAAAAATATGTGATAGCTCGCATCCACACATCACCTAGCTTGCTCCCACTCTATTTTCAAGCAGTCAGACGCCAACTCAGTCGAGGTGACGAAGCATGGCTTAGTCGGATTCTGACAGCTCTACTACTGCTGGACTTGCACTGCTCTCGCCCGACGTCTCTCCTGATATCCCCTCGTTCCATAACTCCTCTAGACCCTTTTCTAATTCGCCGTCTATCCCTCCCACCACTTCAGCCAGCATCGCCCGGGCTGACTGCCAGCTTTTGATTCCCAGCTCTCGACTGGCCAGTTTCATTTTGTCGCCGTAAACGCCTCGCCATTTGCTCAGTTGTCTTTCTTCGATTACATTATTGGCCCGGCCAGTGAACGCTATGGACGCACCAAATAGTACGCAAAATAACCAGAGTGACTGTGTCCATTCACTCATTCTTAGATGTTCTTCGCCTGCATTAACATCGTCTATGAGTTGTTCAAGGAGCCAGTCGATCATGGTTACATCGAAGTATCTGTCGCCCAGCTCAGAACAAAGATAGAAGAAGGTCGCTATGAAACTTGTTCGGCTACTTTTAGGGTCGCCGTTCAAGATTCGTGGTACATATTGACTCGCGCTGAAACCTCTTGAAATCTCATAGTTGAGGTTGAGGTCTCTGGTATGATTTTGCCAAAGTCTGGCCGCTGGGGTTTCGAGATCTTCCCACCAGCCATATCTCGGAGCTTCGCGTGGCGGCAGCGCTGTGATATCCCATATCGACGCAAATAGGAGAGCCATAAAGGTTGGTTGGTATTCGGGCACGTTCACGAGCTGGCCTGCTTTTCCGGTTCGTAGTCCTTCTCCGACCCTGAACAAATGTCAGCAAACATCATTGTTAGCGCTATGATCTTCCAATAGAACTAACATCTTGAGCATTCTCTGGGGCAACGTCGGCACTGGATCGACAACCCTATTCCACTCCTTCACCGCAGATTGTATACCCTTTAAGTGTCTTGAGGAGGCGTCCAGTTCTCCTATCGCGCCCTTGATCACAGATTGTTAGTGACGATTGACTAGTGGGTCGGACTTTAACAAAGGATATCCATACCTCAGTCAGCGCAAGCGCAGATATAGCCAACATAGTGTCTCCGCTCTGTGCCAATTCAGCACTCTGGAGCTGCTCTCTCGCGAATTGATAGGTTGCTGCTTTATGGTACAAGAATGGGATCCTGACCTCGTCCATCGAACCGGTAACCCATGCCCACTGACATGCTGATAGCATGAGGCACATGTGCATGTAGCCAGGGTTCTCGAACGATTTTTGTATTCTAGCAGGTTGTCAGTTCAATGTGTTTAGCAGGTCATGTCGACCCAACGACCAGGTTGACGCACGCTGAAGATTCCAGCTCCCGAGCAACAGGTCTCGAACCCCAAACCGTGTACTGTGAAACTGGTACAAGACGTTAACCCTGTGGGACGAGTATTTCTCTCAGTAAAGTGACTTACAATGTCGCAGAAGGCGTTTGGAGTGCTCCGGAAGAGCATCGAAGGAGCCTCCGACGTAGTTATTGAGAGCATTGCTCATCCCTGGCGATGCCGGTGCCGTTGACTCGGTAAGTGCCATTTGGGTCCCAAAGCTCCCCAGAGCAACATTGCTGGACGACGATGATGGCGAAGGTGACGAATCATTGGATGGGAGTGGTTGTTCTGGAGTCGGATATATGCATTCACTCCCCGTCTGAAGGCAATTGGTGCTGTGTTGGCAATATTTGTTAGTCAGTCCTACAAGGCTTACGACTCAACCGACCGGAGCCTCATGCAAAGCTCGTCTATTCCACGCGGGAGCCTCGCGTAGCCTTGCAGCAACGACAAGAAAACGAGGGGAAAGTATCGATTGTTCCACGAGTAAGACCGGAAGTTTAACATACCAAAGCGGCTTTTGCTCGTCGCACCTCACATGCCTGGCCTTGCATCGAGTGCATCCGTTTTTGCTTCTCCGATGAAACTTTCTCTTTCGTTCTTTGTCCTTTGGCGGCGCCATGATGTTATCTTGGCATTCCTCAGTGGCTATGCGGTATATCTTTTCTGGGACTGATTATGGACAACAGTGGCTTCGTTTACATGTTGCTAATGTAGGCTCCGTACATCACCAGACGCCTCGCCAATGACTCGGGGGCAGTCGAGAGGAAATATTTCACGAGAAGCGTAGTCTTGAAGCACGGCTGACACGGTCCAAAGAAAACAGAGGCAGGCAATTCAAGAATTCCTTCGTATTGAGGGCCAGCCTTTGCCCGATACAATCCACGCCAGTAGGCGGGATATCCCCAAATAGATTTCAAGGGAGCAAAGCTCGTTTTCCTAGACGAAGGCTGCAGGGTCTCTACCCAATCAAATATCACTGATTCTGTTAGCCCCATGACTCGCTGGTCCCCAGTGGCGGGGGCTTGTTCACAAAACCCGTAGAGGCTTCATTTCTGCCCAGGGTTGATGAGATCAGTGAGGCCATACTGAGAGAAAAGTCGGCCGCCTGCAGAGAAAATGGGCTGGAATAAAATGTCTCGTTTTTCCGGTGGATCTACACTTTACGTCCTTGAGAAGCTGCTACGTCACATATAATACGCACGGCGACAGCTATTTCAAACCGTAGCCTCATCGCCACAGGGGCAAGATCACAATGATGGCTCAAATCTTTTGGATAGCGGTTGGCCATTGGAAATAAACACGAAGATGAGGATATCATGCTCAGCATACGACCCAATGGCATGGACTAACACGGAAGCGGTTCGACAACCCCTGAAAGGAGGCGATTCTCTATACAGGCCAATCATCCCCAGTTGGCAGTTGCTCTTTTCGTTGTCTCGTACCACGAAATAGCAAAGGAGGTTCTCGCGATACCGAAAGCGGCCGATTCTCCAACTCGGAGCGGAGCGGCTGAGGCGTCGGTGTGGGGGCCCGCCTCTCGGAGCTGACTGTTAAAGTGTCTGTCGCTCAACTGTTAGTGGACAGAGTGTGGGGATCGATGTCTATTTTGGGCCTTTCCAGATGTCAACAGGGGGGACTGCGTTGACGAACGCCTGGTACCGAAAGAATAGCTCGTGTTCTTTCAGCCATGGACCACGTGCTAGTAAGCGGCGGCGCGAGACACGGTCTTGTTCAGCCTTAGATAGGAGAGACAATGACGCAGTTTGTCTTCTCAGCAAGGGAGGTTGTCTCGTGTCCTGAAATTACCTTAGATTCTGGAATAAGAGAGGCTGGTGAACCTCGTGTTGAAGACCTAGGGCTAGATGAGTCCAGGGTGTCGAGGGCGATGGATGAAACAATCGAAGCTTACCATATCGTATCCAGAAAAAGATTGAGGAATTCAGTGGCCTATCGGTGACTGGGAAGGCAAGCTGAACAAAGCATGTCTTTTATCAAAGCTGAGCTAGTTCGAGCGGATGGGCCGAAATCCTGATCGAGGCTGTGGTGATACTGATCAGCAGCGAGGCGAGCGATTGCGAGGCATGGACACGGGTGAGTGAGTGTGAGTGTTTTGAGCAAAGCCCAGGAAAATAAGAAAGAAGAAGAGAATTTACCGACTCGTCGAAAGAATAAGGTTATTCTGAGTGGCTGAGGAGAGTCGGCATGATAAAAGGCATCGTCGTACACTTCGGCTGTGCCACCTCATCTCCTCCACGTCAATCAAACAAGCGACAATTGAATTGACATGGAACATTTGGCTTGGGTTCCGCAGATCGGGTCACATGCATTTGCCCATGTCATGCTAACTAATGATCTGGCATCTTTCCAGTGGACAGCCCTGCTTCGGCTAATGGAATATGGGGAATCGATGTGAGCAGATGCCGCTGTCCACGAGGCGGTCAATATCTAATGCCTCTCAGCCTTTGAAGTTGTGACTCTAGAACCGAGAATTTATCCGATATCTTGGATCCACAGACTTGATACATAGTACTATGTACACACGTACATCCGCCTCACAATCAACACAGCTGAGCTCGGCCGGTTGAGGCGGGCAGGCCCTTTCTTCGTCCCGTTGCCAGCTGCCGAGAGATGCCACGAGCTTCGAGGGCCACGACAGGGCTGGTGGAGTAACTATTGACGTTGTAGATTATTGGCGTTTGCATCAGCGTCAGACCATTGCGTCGCCCGTTTCCAAATCGAGGAGGTCTTCTTGTTGTTGTTGTACGAAGGCACAGAGTAATCCGGTGAGCGAGATGGCATTTACCCAAGAGTCAAAGACAAGTAATGGATGTAACTGATGATGATGATGGTCCATGATGACCGCAGTTCGTCAAATGCTGTCAGCCTTTGTTCATATCGTTCCTCTATCATTAACAACTCAGACCCAATCACAAAGCGTCCTTTTACTGGTATAACGGTCAACCCCCAGATTCGACAATTCCGCCTTGCTGAGGGTGGTCTGCTGGCAGTCAATTAATCGATGAGTTGGTGGGGGTCAAGTTGTGTATGTGCGGCTACAGTATCAGTATCCTGAGCAGCAACAAACAAGGAACGGAGCCCAAACAAACTCAAAAGCCAATACCCAACCATCCATTGCCCATTGTCGCTCGGGCTCCCGTCCCGTGATTCAAGATAGAGGTGGTCAGTGGGCATCAATCGAAGCCCTGTCGGGTTCACTTACATACGCAAGACAACACGCCTTGGTGCCTGACCTGGACGTTTTAGTTACCTGAACGTTAGTCTCTAAACGTCTATCGAGTCCCATTGTTGGTTGATATCGATTGACCGCTTCTCAACGGTTCCAGGTACTACCCTGTTCGTCCATACAGTACAGTACAGCACCGCACCTGAGCACTCACTCTGCTCTGTCAATCTCTCATGGATGAGATCAGCCAGCGATGGATGGATGCCAACGCGCCTCGCTTGCTTGGGCAACAATGCTTGAGCGCCCAATGCCAATGTACTCGGTCACCCAGTCACTCTCGATTTGTCACGGCCAAGGCAGTGACTTTTTGGGTTTACTTTGTTAGGCACTCTGGGGTAACCCGGCACTCAGTATCAGTACTCCCACCGACGATAACTCTCCACTCTCCACTCGGTTCTCTGGCTACACAATATGTCCAGTAGGTATCGTCGTGGGATAGGCAAGGTATTTCATACTGAATGTTGGTTAATGGTTGACGGTTACGACTCAAACTGGGCACACAGGACGTCACCCACCCTGGCTTTGTTGGCTTTGGATCAGAGACAGGGTTCGCTCGTGGGTTCTTTTCGCTTCGCAGTTAGGCTGCTTGCGCCATCCAAAAAGTCAAGATATTTGCCGATATTAATTAAATTGACTCTCTCCTCAGGTACGCAACCAACCTCCGAAGCGCCGGATTGACACCCTCCAAAACGTTGAAGGAATGGGATTCTGGGGCGAATTCTACTGCAAATCTTAGCAGAAAGAGGATTGATTTTGGGCCATCTCATCACTGACTTGCTTCACGCCTGGTCCCTGTCGCTGCCCACTACCTACCTACCTACTACAGCGCACTACTACAGGCTACTCACTACTCAACTCGACTGACTAGACTAACCAAGTCACTCACTAGTGAATGGGGCATCGCTTTTTTCCATCGCCATCCATCCCTCGCGACAAGGGTTTCGCTTCATGACATGCGTCGCCCCCGTCTCTGTCTGTACCTTACCTTGATCCCTTGCAGCCTCACGGACGAACATAAATCATCCCCATTCCGAGCTTCACTCCTCCAGATTCTCTTCCAATTCTGTACCAGTTCGGTTCAGATCAGCTTGTTCAACAGCTTCACCTGCAACTGGCTCGCTCAGAAGCGCCTCCAAGGATCTTGCACTACTGTCTTAGTGCTTCTTCACTATTATTCCGCGAAGTTTACCTAGTTTCTTTTTTTTTCCTGCTCTTCCTGGAAACGGCCATCTCAGCGTGATCCATCTGCCTGGACCACATCCATACATACCTTACCACAGACCACAGGTCACAAAGGTCACACCGCCTACATACATTCTACTGTACAGCCGCCAACCTAGTCCAGCCCAGCAGGAGGACCCAGAATCCAGGACCCAGGACCCAGGACCCAGGGAATTTCATCACCATCAAAAAAACAAAAAAAAAAAAAGGAAACCCTAGTCAACCGTCGTGGATGACCCTGGAGAAGAGACTTAGCCCAGCCCAGCCTGTCTTTTGGAAGAAAAGGAACCTAGGTCCAGGATCATTCACTGCCCAAGGGACCCCTCAAGACCCAAAGGGACCCATAGTGTACCAAGCTGTCCGCTGTTCATCTCCATTAACATCGGTTTACCGGTAGTCTGTCTTGTTCTCTTTTTTTTTAATTGGAACCCAAGGCGTGGACTTGGGAACGTGGATCCATCCTGTTGCTTCTTCACGCCGGTGGATTCTTTCTTTATCAGCCGCAAGTCTCGTCAGGTCTCATCCAAATTAACACTTATTTGCGGTTTTTACAATGATGAGCCAGTACACTATGGCACAACCAGATCATGCCTACAAGTCTTCAACAATGTCCAACAGTCCCTGGAATGCAGCTCGCAGGTGAGATAGAATTCCTTCCCCTCCCCCTCTGCTGGCCGTTTCTGTACGTATGAAAGGATTTGGTTGGCTAATTCACCAGTAGCTCATTTACCGATCCCTCGGTACATGGCAGTTTCGACAATGGCTTCTACTCAGCACAAAGGTATGGTACTTCTCGGAACAATACCAGCTCGGAATCATTAGTAACATCGGCCGCTTCAAGTGTCAGCTACTCAGCAAGCAACTATAACCTAGCTGGCGGTCTGCCCATTGGTACTGGCGGCCATTTGTCGCGACCCGAGTCAACCTATCCCGCTGGTCCATCATACAGCGCCCGTCCTGCTTCAGGATCATACGGAAAGCCTGTCGTCCATGGCTCATACAAGGGAGCTACCTCTCAGTCCTGGGAGAACCATGATCGATACTCACCCACCGACTCGGTGGACGATATCATCGCATCACCTAACCTATCCGACTACTCCCTGGAAAATGGGATGAGCAACTCTGCTCCCGGAGGAAAGTCAAAGTCATCTGGCAAAGGTCGATCGCAAAGACGTCCCTCAAACCGTGACGAGTTTGACGGTCCTCATCAATTCTTGCAGCGACCACCTCCCGATGTCATTGCTATGCAGGAACGTGAACTTCCTCACCTGCCTACGAACCTTCATGTCCAAGAGCAGGACAGTGTTTTGAGCCAGGTCAATGACCGGCTATCGCAATGCGCATACGATTTCGTTGCCAAGTATCAGTTTCCGATTCCTCTCACTCAGGACATGAGGCCTGTTGAGCGACCTCAGGATCGAGAATGGACCGAGTGGGTTTACCTCCTCAAGCGCCTCGCAACAAAGCGACGCATCCCAGCGCGAGTGCTCTACAATGGGCAGATCAAGCAGTTTGTCACAATCCTCGAGAACTCACTCGAGATGCGACACGCCGCTAAGCACCAGAGTCGCCCTCTCAAGGACGACCGCAACATCCTTCAGCTGATCTCGGCTGGTATTCAGGTGGCCAAGATCCTGAAGGATGCGTCGGCGATGGACTACCTAGACCGACTATACGTTTCTACAGACAAGCAGATCCAGGATCGTGCCGCAGCGCGGTACCGAGCTTAAGAATCCAAGCTTGAGCACACGAGTCTTCGAAGCGACTGACTCTAATGATATACGTTTATATGCTCTCCTGCAATAGGACGCATGATGCCTGCCGGTGACGACAACGGCACGAATCAGAAACAGGGACGTGGCCCAGGCAAAAGGGTTTGAGGCCACAAGCACAATTTGACATTGTGGACGATAATGTTTATCATATACGGACGATGTTCTCTAATGGTCATAGGGGGCCGGCGTGCCAGGTTCGCACCAGCCCTTCCCAGCAACCGTCTTTCCGGTTGGGAGGCTAATGTCTGAGCGTGTTGGAGTTTATTTTATGGCACTTTGTTTTCTCTGGAATTTTGTTTCGCATATGAACGAGTCATGCTTTTTTTCTCTCGTGCTTTTTGGTTTCTAGCACATGTTTATACTTATTGCTTTTTAACTCGATTTGAAGAAGAGTGCTCCAATGCAGAACAGACAGGACTCACGATGATGAAATCACAGTGTATTTGAGTTATCAACAGCTGATTCGAAGAGCTCATGACACATCATGCCTGTCATTTCAACCGTTTGAACCGTTGGTGGCGTTGGGTGACGAGTGTGAGGGTGGTGGTGTTGGGCATCGGTTGGGTTGGTAAGGATTACGATTTGGGGGGTGAAGGCCGTGCTGATGATGATCTCTCGGAGGCAGGCATCTCAACTCTATTTTCACTGTTGATCATTGGGCATGTATGTATTGGGCGCGTGATCCTAGTGAGAGTTGGGAATCTAGCAACCGTGGTCTTTGGAGGCTGACGGGCGTTTCGTGACGAGATGATGGAGATATGGTTTCAGAGGCCGCATGTATTACGAATACAATATGACCTGATACGGTACGTATAATCTGACATTGTTCTTGGCCGTTTCAGTGGAACCTACCATGAATAAAGATGTTCTATTTTACAGCCTTAGCATGGTAGCTAGCTCACGATCCGTCTTCTTGTCCTAGGGTAGCTAAACATTGTGTGTCTATGCCATGCCAGAACTTCAATTGGGATTCATCCAGAACCGACAGGGAATACTCATGTGAATCATGCCTGGTATTGCCGGGATCGCTGGAATATGGTGAAGCTTTCGGGGCCACAAGTCGTCTGATATTGAGGCTCCGATACCATACAATGGCTTGAGGCCTTCATGATGTGATGCACGAAATCGTACGTACCAATCGGAGAGTCACAGACACAGATCGATAATGCTACCATTGCTGCTGTACGATCTCGAATGACAGCTCGCACTTCTATGATAGACTCGTTCTGGTGACCACCTGACAGCCAAAGCAAAGAAGATGCACTATCTGCGAAAATACATACAAATCCATCACTTGACTGAGTACCTGTTTGGGAATAGTGCAGCTGCGCATGTGCATAAATGACTGGTTGCGATAGGCCTTACCCTGCACTCTGAGATACTTAAAACTGGGTGTAGGCCACATAGAGGATGAAGTACCAGAGCCTCGGTAGCTGTTTGGGTTTAGCGTGGGAATCGTTGAGACGTCCGAGTAGGTTGACCGAGAGGGAAAAGTGAAGCAGACGACTTGACTTTTCTTATTCCTCTTTCTATTTGTTTGTTTGTTTGTTTGTTCGTTCGTTTCTTTCTTTCTTTCGGTCTGGCTTTGGTAAAAGTGCGATTCTCTTGACTTATATCTCGCGCTCTCTCCCGCGCTGAAACAGTGAAAGTGGTAGTGGACTGGAGCCTTTGCAACAACACAGCTTGAAGAACTAGGATTCACTCACTCAGTAACGATCAAAGTCACGACATTCGACGATTTCAACATAAAGAGAGTGAAGAAGTGGTATCCAATCTCATTAACGGACCTAAATTCACCGTATATATCCATTCGATCTCATTGCCTGGACTATTACTCCTTATCATCTCACCTCTGGCCTTCATATCACCAAGCAATATCTACTATCCAAGTTGTATCCATCAGGACAACAGTATATGCCCTTTGATACTATAAAACACACCTATCAAAATGGCTTCCGTACATTCCCGGCCGTCACCAAACTCCTCATCCTCCTACGAATTCGAGTCTGTCCCCGACGACGAATCATGGCAGTACATCGACTACACAGCCACGGGATCTGGCCCATCGTCCATCGGGTTTCTTTCTGATCCTGCCAGCGGAAGCCTTGGAAGCTTCGCCATGGTTGGAAATGTCCATGGAACGCCATCTCCATTCATACCAGGCAATACACCCTCACCCTATGCTGCCGGCAACACTCCTCCACCATATACCTCTGGGAACAACTCATCACCCTTCATGCTTGGAAACACACCTTCACCGACAGCCGCTTCTCCCCTGTTACTAGAAGAGATGGACCCAAGCGCATTCTTTGCCGCCAATGCCTCTTCATTCCAGCCTCAACCAAGCAATACCAATACGGACATATTTGCTTCCACAGCAGATGGTGGATTCACTCAGCCGCAAGATTTCTTGACCCCACAGCAGTATCTCTTCTCACAGCAAAATACGAATCAGTTCCAACCTCAGGGCTTGAATGGTATGCTGAAGCGGAGGACGGCCTCCCCTCAAGGGCAGGATACTGATGCTGCTGCAGACATGGCTCTCATGCAAAACTTCACAGCCGACATGTTCTCGATAGACGCGAATGAACAGGTTCAGGTACCCCAAGTCAACTTTAACATGCAGCAGCCGCTACAATCGGATCCCAATGTTCCGCCATGGAACCCTACCAATACGAGGGGTAATGATGCTATCTTCATCATGGATGACTTCAACAACTCTCCATCGCCCGTGAGCAATTACTCTCCGAGCTCGATGAACAGTTCGAAAGCAAGTCCCAGCGGTGCAAAGTCTCCGGTATCGATACCGATTCGAAAGGTGAAGGTCGGAAAGGTCGAGAAGAAGAAGAAGGCAGAACAATCTGGCAAGTTTGTCATTGTGACTCCTAAGTCCATCTCAGCTCATGCTGGTCGCGAAAACCCGTTCGAGTGCTTCGAAGCTATGAACCGGACAAGTCAACGAGGACGTAAAGGACCTTTGGCAAATGCCACAAAGGAGAATGCGCTGCAAGTCAGAAGACAGGGTGCTTGTTTCTGCTGCCACAGTCGCAAGGTCAAATGCGACCTGGAGCGTCCGTGCAAGAGCTGCAAGAAACTAATGGTCCAAGTTCCTCAAGTTGTCTGCTGGCAGTTCAGTGACTTCGTAACCATTCTATTCCCCGTATACATTCGCGGTCATCTGGAAAGCAAAGCGATGGCCAAGTTTACTAGGGAGAACATTGCAGGTTTCCATATTCAGGGGTTAGAGCAGGTGTGCTCCGTCGAACTATTCTCGGGACCACGATTCAGCACGGTTTTGGCCTTGCAAGCCAAATTCTTCACCCCTACTAACGCCGAGGTGCAGAACCATTGGCAGCTACACAACTTGGGACAGAACAAGGTTGAACTGAGGGCTAACAAGGCAGCCAACCTTGGCATCGACCTCGAGAAGTCCGCGGAGAGGGACAATCTCAGGAAACGGACTAAGAGATACATCCAAGACCTTCTGAACGAGCCAGAATTTGTGGCTCAAGTCACGGATAGCATCACAAGCACATACCTGCCGGCGAAACTGCTGCGGATCGTCAAGGAGTATGCTGACGAGACTGAGGTGGGTGAAACCTTGCGAGACGTATCATTAACCGAGTTGACAGTCATACTATAGTCCCTCATGGTCAAGCGTGCATTGTCGATCTACTGCATGCATTACATCATGACAAGACAGCTGTGCCTCACTCAACAGACGACCGACTCCCTTAGATCCGTCGGTATGATCGAGCAGGGCCCCAATTATGTCACCCCACGAGTCCTCGCACGACAGATCAAGTCCATCGTAGACGAGCTGATGCATCGCGAGGTACAATCACTATTCGAGCTCTTCAACCGATCTCTCAAGCCGAAGTCCCGACGCGAGTGGGCACCCTGCACCGCCGCCTTTCTCGTCCTCTGCCTATTCATGGAGGCTGTAGAGACGGCAGCTGACACGTTTGTGCTCGCGCAGAACGAAATCAACATGAGGAACAGCGCCAGACCGGAGTACGAAAGAAGCCTTGCGCTGAATACCTGTGCCGAGGTCGAGAACATGCCCTTCAAGCAGTTCGCTTACCAGTTCCACCAAGTCTATCAGACGCACAGCAAGGAGGCCAACTCGAAAGGTTTCAACCCTGTGCTTGACATCAGCTTTGCCGAAAAGGGCGAGCTGGACGGACCGGCTGTGAGGTTCTCGGCTCAACTACGAGAACTATTGTTCGGCGATAGCTGTAAGTGCAACCTCAGACCCTGCTAACAGACTGACAAAGTATTGTTCTGGAAAGAGTCACAAAAGCTAATTATTGTCCGTTTCACTTCAGGGCAAGAATTACAGTTTCTAGCAGCCACCGACATGATACCCAACACGTCGACTCATCCTTTCCCTATGGATCCGCAGACATTGTACACAGGGCGCCTCGTGGCCAGGTTTCTCATATCGTTCCAGGACGAGAGAAGCATTTTCGAGGACCTTGTCTGAGGGAAGGCTATTTGTCCGAGACATGTGCTGACAGAACGGCGAAATATGGCCATCAACGTTGTCTTGAGAGACATGGCGCATGCGAGGCTTTGCTTGGTATAACGGTTTATGGGACACGAACACCTTTGTGCAGGGCATTAGATTTTCTTGGATGATATGACCGAGGGGACACGCAGACGGCACACGAGGCTGAGAGAGCCATATGTGTGCTTGTACTCCGTCCGTACAGAGTAACGGAAGTGTCTCAGAGTGAGCTCGAGAGAGCATGTTTCGTTCGCAGCTTATGGTAGTATCAATATGCTGAGCATGGCATGGCAGGGCATGACATGAGCCAACAAATATTTCTCATGACGGGCAAGACATTGCGTGTAACGCTGGTACTTGGTGCAGCGTCCGACGCCCTGCCTCGAGTCACTGGTCACTCAAAAACATGTGAAAGTACAAGACATTTATTCACGTTGAGTAAGTATGTTTGCCCGATTTTAGTCCTGATGCCACACTGCTTCTATGGTATCAGGGTGGAGCGGACCGGTTGTCTAGACCGTGGTTTTGATCTCCCACTACGAACGATAAAAATAAAGTTGACACACATGCGCATTGAAAGCGCGAGGTGTAGGCAATTCGTGGGTGCCGCTGAGCGGACTTTGAAGAACAAGGAAAGGAAACAAAATGCTGTAGAGAAATGGGTAAGTCGTAGAGCAAGGCATAGCATAGCATGAGTAGTAGCAAACAGTGAGACATCGTCACACCAAACCAGCCTCGAAAAACAAACTGTCAAACGCGGGCCCTTTTTAGCTCTCTTGTTTAGAGCAGTGCCTGTCTCGTCATTAGGGCGTTCAGCATCTTTCGAGGAGGACTGCATCCTGCATTGCATGGATGAATGTCAAGTCCGAAACCAAGACTTGAGGAGCTGAACACAAAACGGACGCTTCATCGGCGTTGACCGTGAGCGCGTGAGAGCAAGAGAAATTGAAGCCGAGGATGTCACATCGGAAACGGTAAAAGTTGCTTCTGAACCTCGGAGAGGCGAAGCTGAGGCCAAACAAACAAGAAAAAGAGGCGTTGTTGTAGAAGTTTGGATTGAATTGATGTGAGAAGAAGAGTTTTTAAAGAGGTACCTAGTGAGTGGAGGTCGAGGTAGGGGGACACAGATCCACACTGCACGTGACACGAGACAAGCCTGTACTGAAGCTAAGCTACCTACTATACCTTGTCCCGTTGTGAGATCCGACTTTTCCTCCTCCCTCTTCTCCTCTTTACACTTTTTTCGCACGATAAAATCAACCGGCCTCGATCTCTTTACACTCGAAGTCGGTCATATTCAGTGCAAGAGGGACAGGGCCATCTTCTGCTGTCATACTGCGTCGAGAGACACATTTCAATTGTCTCCCCGACCCGGCAGAAGCTCCGATACGTCAATTGGGTACTCATTTATCTATCAACTGAACTCTTGCTGCCACACAGCAAATGCATAATCTCGAACGAGACTGGTATAGGACCTTCGTGTATTGTGTGTCGAAGATCCTGCGCCTTAAAAGGATCAACACCAGGCACTTGTTGATCCCGCATCACCACATTTTTGTGTCTCCTGCGCCTTTCTACTTTTAGTGCCGGCTACATGATGCTGTGTCTCTGCACTCTACCTACCTGCCCAAGGTTATCTTAAACCGGCATGGTACATTTGAGGAGTACATGCCTCAAATCAGCTCTCCGACTGGCCACAAGATACGCATTGCTTGCGAGCCTGGACGTAAATAATTCGGGACCTTGAGGCCCATCACTGTAGCTATCCGTCGCTGTGTCCAAACGGCTGTAAGGGTTTTAAATGCGTTGGATCCAGCCCAATGGGACCAATCATTTTTAACGAAATACTTAATCCTGTCTCAATAGACCCAATACAGCCTCTACGTTACCCTTGCACCCACCTCTTCTCCTTAAAGCAAAGGCAAAGGTTGATGGCCAAACCCCTGTACACAGAACCCATCTCTTTGTGCTGCGAGCGTTACATGGTTTGCGCAACATAAAACTATTAACGAAGCAAGAGAACTCGACATATGGTTGGACAGAGTCCAACTATACCTGCGGAATGACATTAGTCTGAGGACATCGCCAAGCTTAGGGTTGAGATCGAGTTGTTCCTGTGAGGGTCAACTCGGCGATGCCTTGATGGTGACTCTTGAACACGAGATTCAGTTAACTTGAACAGGAATACGAGTCTATAACTGGATATTGATACCGTTTCACTGCTCTCGAACTGGCCTCGCTGTCCTACAGTTCGCGTCAATACATACACAGGACCCATATTCGGATATCTTTGACTCCTGAACCTTGTCTTGTCCAACAATAGCTGTTTCCACAATAGGCAACGGAACGTCGACTTACAGTATGGCCTTGTCTTGTCGTCTTGCTTTAGAGGTTAAGCAAGCGGTAACTTGCATACGGCGAATGTAGTCAAAGTAGAAAGCTGACGACAACATGGCGCAAAGATATAACCTTGAGCAACAATAGATCGCCTCATTTCGGGGGTTGTACAGCTTGTAGCGCCCCGAGGTCCTCTTTGATACTTCGTCAGATGGTCTTATTCTTGAACTTCTTCTGAAAAACTAATGATGGAAGCAATGTGTTTGTCCAACACAAGTCAAGTATAAGAAGCTGCACTTACCCCGTGGAATGCTTCTCTTCTCCCAAACTCATCAAGACAATTTACACACAAGTGTAAACAAGCTTAACTTCTAAATTCAATTTCCCGCAAGTTCTCTTTAATCAAAGTCAAAACCCTTCAACTTTCTCCCCCCCCCCCCCAAAAACATCGAAGCAACCATGGCCTTCTCTACCGAAAACGTTGTTTGCGCCAACTTTGGGAGAACACCTCCGCCTCCTCCTCCCACTCCCAGCCCCTGGCCCAGGGACCCCTGTGAGTTAAATATTTCTTCCTGTTTTCTCTTGCGTATCCAGCGGTGTCCTGGATAATGGCTCGCATAGTATGTGGTTGAACGCTTTCCGCCGTGTCATGGTATCGCTGCAGCGAACACTTGTTCATGCTGCAGAATCAGTGCTTCTCCGATTGGGCATACCGCTAACACGAGCCCACAGGTAATGGAAAGTAGTTTCCTATCCATTCGCTATGCATTGGGTACTATACTGCAATGCATAGCGCAGAGGAGGAACCGCGATGGCCTGATACGGAGTATACGAAGGGAGAGGAGTGACGGCCAGATTGATGAGGAGATATCGAAGACTGGGGCGGTGGTCAAACCTTCATTTCTGTAACTTGCTTTATTTGCTTTCATAGATGATCAATTGCACGGTACCGTTGCCTTCAGCCATTTTTCTTGTGCACATTGTGCGTAATAGCAAACCGCGCTGTGTGCTCTGACAGGGCTCGTGCAGACCGACATCACACTATGGTGTATCCCAACAGTATGACTCGAGACGCAAGAAGCGAGAAGAGAGAACAGTGGAATGTGCCGCGACGAATAGAGCTCTGAATGCCGCTGTTGTGGCGGAGGAATAAAGTAAAGAGTTCGAAATTGAGGACGTTGATCGTACGAGCGCGGTAACACTGGTGTAAAGGCATATCGAATGATTTTGAGAGAATCAGTTCATAAGCTGTACAAGACAGAGGCTTGGGTACTAGAGCATCCTGTCAATGCCTATGCACAAATCCTGTAACCGACCGTGAAGCAGGATATGAGACATGCCAATTGCTTATCGCTCATTATAATGACGCTCAGAAGCACAGTGTGTCAATGACTGCAGGATATTGAGATACAAGGGAATTTGTTTTGTTGGAGTTGATTTGGAGAAGTAAAAATTGCGTATGTTGTGTACGGGCAGGTAGGTTTGTACGCTCGGAAGTCGTGACTTCCCGGACTGTTATTCCTAAGGGCCCAAGGAAGGTGCGACTACAAGTGCGACCTGCCGACTATAGGCACTGAGGCCTTATGTGAGGGAGCTTAAGAATGGATGGAAGTCTATGCTCGACCTAGATCGCAATTCTGAATATGCCTACTAGTTAGAGGTTAGCATGTTAAATGGTTATCAACTCCACGATTCTCCTGCTCCTATTATTTACCTTCCTATACACTCCACCCACTGTACCCTACATCCAAATTCCTGTGCATCACTAAAACGATCGAAAGCAAAGATAACCTCCTCTTCGCTTAACCCTACCTTCAACGAGCCGTCAGTTCCGTCCGGATCCGTACGGCCTGGAACCGGATCGTCTGCAGTGTAGCCAACATTGCGCGCCTCCAGCTGTTTAAGCCGGAAAGAAGGATGCCCGACGCTAAGCGATCTGTCGACTCGGATAGATTGGAAATCATACTCATCGCCATCGTGGTCTTCGTACTCGTCTTGCTCCTCGCTGTCCTCATCGTAATTGGCGCCAGCTATAGAGCACCTCGAGGGACTCGAGATACTAAGAACGGACAGCGTGAGACGCACTGGAATACGTTGCACCAGCCAGATCAAGGAGATGGAACATATCATGACCATGAGGCTTCATTCATCAAGAGTGTCCGAAGGCGAAGCCAGTCTTTGGCAGAAGAGCTCCGCTTGGAGCTGATTAACCTAAAACGCAACCTATCTTTACTTACAATCCCCTCGAGGAGCCGGCTGGAAAACACAAACACAAGCGGAGCGCGAAGATTTAGCATTGACCAGTTACTGAGTTTCTCCACGAATAGCTCAGGATTAGTCACAGATTGTGAGAGCTGCTATGAGTACCTGGACTCCCCGCTGTCCGCAACAGGAAGGGACGAGGACGCTATGGGGACACAGAGAAGGCAAATTCGACCAACGATGAACGCAGCGACATATGAGGAGGCGCAACGGTAGGACAGCCCCTTACTGTAGGCTACAGGGACAACGATGATGAAGACTGGTGAAAGGTCAGGATTGGCAGGTTGTTGTACATGATACCTCTATTGAATCTGAAAAGCCCATCCTACTCTGACATTGGCTCTCTGTGAAGCCCGCAGCAAAATTCCCTGTGTCATCCCTTAACACATCACCACTTTCTGGTGTGTTCGTTGCTGGTACAAAATAAACGGCTCGTTTCTCTTCATTGGCGCCCACCACTGTAACCCCTTATGCGGACTGCTTCTTGAGTTCTCGCGCAGCCTGCTTCAGGCTGAAGTTGCACTCCTCATAGGCACGACCAGCACCGAAGCCGACACCAACGAATGCGGGCCATGCTCTTCGCTTGAACAGAAGGACGGAGAAGACGACGCCGAAACCGAGACCGAGGGAGGACTTGACAAGGAGGTTGGAGAGGCAGCGATCCCACTAGAATTAATTCAGTACTGGAACTTTGTACAGAAAGCGTTTGAAGTATTCGGGTCTCGTGATTACCTTCTCATTGAGAAGAGACTCGCTAAGCGGCCGGGAAATGGCGCTGGGAGGAGGGCGGGCGACAGTGGAATCGGCCATTTTGAACTGTGAAGTATCGCGTCAGATTCATTGATCGGAGATTAATAGAACAAAAGGAATTGGCATACTTAGGTCGTGCAATTGGTCGTGACGAGCGAAATCAAGAGCTGCAACGAGCTTTATCTATGGACGTGATGTCAAGCTTGAATATGGAACAAGCCGGGTGACAAGAGCCGGGCTGTAGGCGGTGAGCATGGTGAGCCGGTAACGGTTTGGCGTTGTGGCAGAATTTTGGAAATTTTGGGTGGAACTCAGGAAAAGTCGCGGGGCGCATTCAAAGGTCGAGGTTTGTATAGCTTCTTTTCTCAACCATTTCTTTTCAATCATTCCTTTGTAAAACTGTCGCTATGGATGTGTTTATGGCGGAAGACTTCTCACAAGAAAATTCTTCAACTCTAGTATGTGTCTTTCTTGCTGCGTGCTTCCCAATTGTGAATGCTTACACGTGCTACAGCAAAAGATGGACCTGATTAAGACTGTGAGAGGTCTTGACCAAAACGGTCCAGGCGAAGATGGAAAGAATCTAGAAAAGTTATGGAACAGTTTGACTGTATCAGCAGATAGCCAATTCCATGCTGCAGAGGAGAGCAGCTTGCGATGGCTGCTAAAGTCGATGAACGGCGCATCAAAAGATGCCGAAACTTTGCGACGCTGGCCCCTGACCTGGACTATCCTTGAATGTGTCTTTCAGCGCATTCCTTTATTCTCACTCGCAAAGTCTCTTGCCGATAGACGATTCATTGCAGTACTGCAGCAAACTCTGAAAGATATCTCACAACCAGCTACGAACTTATCATTCAGTTCCTCCAAGAGAAAGCGGTCGCCAACGAAGAGCTTCGACCTCGAAGCTCTACGAGATACCGAAGGGTGCCTTATGAGTGGAGATGCTTTACTAAGTGCCCTGAAGACATTACTGGACCGCCTTCGTTCATCTGCCACGCAATCATCCCACGACAAGATCGGCGCAGAGCATATCCGATCTCTGTTCTGTACCTCAGCAGCTGATGCAGCGACCCTGGCATCATTGTCCCTAAAGCTGTGCAATGTTGCGCTTACTAGCGGTGAAGAGCAAGAAGGGAGGGAATACTGGATCGAGACGATATCATCCATCTGGGATTTTCACTTGCAAGGAACCGATGATACACTGGAGGTCGCAGCACAGCTATTCACACCATCCGCTGCCATCTTCAGCAAACTTGAGGGTATCGATGGATCACACGACAGGGTTACACGAGACCCCCTACGGGCGAAATGGACGATCGATTTGGAAAATCTCATGCATCGCAATTTGATACTCCCCGCCCGAGCCGCCTTCATTAACCGACAAGATATGGAACCCATCGCCAGAGCACTTCATGCAGCCGAGAAAAACCTTGAAACGGCAGCTCCTGCGCTGTACTTCTTAGCTTCAAGTGTGACAGATGCTCTTAGTGAAGGAAGGTTACGGAAGGGAAATATCGACTGGATGAAGCAGATCTTCAAAGTTGTGGAAGGCTCGCTAAGAGGACGAGAGAACAGAGATAAGCTGGTGCAGGCTGTTCTGGAGCGAGCGGCTGAAAAGTCAATGTCAATCGACACAAATGATCTGCGTTCTGTTTGTCGAGAGTATGCCCTACAGGAGGATAGCATAAACTGGCATTTAACCGCAGTCATTGCTGGTTGTGATTTTGATGTGTTCAAGCTCCCCGAAGGCGAAAGCCTGCTAGAGACAGTCTGCGAGCGAAGCGTCTCCTCAGAGCTTAAGCATCAGGATCTAGAATCAGTTTCCAAAATCATTCAAGCCATCGCTCAAGTATACCGAACTGGACGAGATTTCGCTGGGTTCCTGAAGTTGTGGTTCCAGCAGCTTTGTAAGGTTGAGAAGAAGAAGACCAAGACTGCCTCACCATGGCTTCAGGTTGGCCAAGAGAAGCAGGGAAATACTTCATTCGAGAGCTTGATTGAAAAGGAGATGTCACCACAGCAGCTTCTGGAGATTTTGGAGTGGGTCAAGGAAGAGAAACTGCACTCCAGGACACTCTGCCTCTTCTTGGACTGCGTTGCTCAAGGCATTCGAAGCGAGACATACGTGGATGCCGTTGGCAGTAAGCTATTTGACTTGGTAAGCCAAGTGAAAAAGACGTCGTCCACCCTGACAGCACTGAAGTGGGGAGTTGTGTCGAAGACCATTTCTTGGGTGACCCCTCAGTCACGAGCTGATATTTGGGCCTCTGTCCAAGGACAACTGACCAAGATTTTGTCTGAGTCACCTCTCGAGTCTAAGGAAACGTATGAAGCCTTCAAATGCTGTTGCCAAGCTTGGGTTTCCTTGAGCCCTGATGACGCACATATCAGCGAGCCCGCAAGCCTGGTGGATGCTTTCACCAATCGACTGTCAAAGGACCTGCTCTCATCAAAGTCCCTGAAGGGGAGAGACCTTTCATCATTCTTACAGCATGGTTATAAGCCAGATTTCCTCGAAGAAGCTGCCCCAGAGCATTATTTGGCCTGGTTTTTGCGGGGCTCTGGCCGTTTAAGCCGATTCGTTTATGGCACCAAAGCTACCCTCCCCAAAGCATTGCAGAATGCGTTATCTCTACCCAGCAGTGAAGTTACTCATTCGAGGGATATTTGGGCATGCCTCCTTGAGAACGAAAACAACATGAACACAGTCAAAGTCGCTGGCGACCTTATCGACCGACTGATCAAGTCGTTGGAAGAGGATGGAAAGGAGAAGCGATGGCCTGCAGAGAGCAGCCAGGCCTGGATTCGGAGCCTGAGCAGTACTCATACAGATGCCTTTACTCGACCGCAGAGAGAACGTATTATGGAATTACTCAATGCTCACAGAGCAAAGACGACAAAACGGATATCGATCGAGGGGTGGAGATACATTCTCGGACTGTCCACTAAATTGATGGGCCGAGCGACTTTCTACGAAGGAATGGAATTCCCCCATTTAGTTGATGTTGCGGATGCTATGTCAGACATCTCTAGCTCCACGCCTACTCAAGACGGCACTTTAATCGATCTGATCGAAGCATATTATATGATGGCGGCGGCCACTATTCGACAGATGGCGGAGCATTTGGACGAGCGAAGTAACAAATATTTTGAGGAGAGTCGCAGTTTCATTTCTGACTGTGAAGAAGCTGGGGACTTGTCGCCTTTCCGCATGACCCTTTTGAAAGCGTTAATCACAGAGGCTGAGAAGTCGCCAAACTTCGCCAGCCATCCTGAGCTAAGCACAGTGTCTGATGCAGCAAAGGATGCATTAGGAAAATGTGTGATTGCAGCTACTGGCTACTTCTTGAAAACGAAGAAGGCATTTGAGACTCACAATGTCATTGCCGACCTCAGGCTTCTTGCTGCAGTCGATGCCGCAGACTCGATGGAGAGTCTTTCAGGGGCTTCCAGACTAAAGGAATCGGACATAAGAAAGGCGGAAAAGAGCAGCCATGCAGCCATGGCGGCAGGAGATCTCCGTGGATGGCAAATACAAACGTTCCTCAGGACCTACTTCTCTGCGCATCTGGAAGAACCCCGACCAACAACGTTTTACAGCATCAGCCAGGTACCACAGGAACTTCGCGAGCCTTTCTTCCAGAGCAATGTTGCTTCGGTCACAAAGGAGATGGACACCTCCGCTAAGATGGCGTACTTGAGGGACCTCATTCATGTGTTTGTGCAAGGTTCGGACTCGGATGGTCAAGCATCGGCTATCTATACCGTTGTGAACCAGCTCCTAGGTAAGACAACTGAAGCCATTGAAGTTGTGTCAACTAACACAGAGTAGCATGCCCTGATCTACAAGGGAAAGGCTCCGGGTTTGACCTGGCGACCGCTCACAGTGAGCTGACCTCAACCCTGTTGACGCTCAAGAGCCAGTCCGTTTGTACCCGAGTGTGTCGTATTCTCTGCACACTCCTGGAGAAGAAGCCCCAGTCGATGACCCAATGGAACATCGAGTTGGTGCTCAATACCATCTCTGACTTGAGCCTGTCAACGAAGACGCTTGACGAACAAGTGTCCAATGAAAGAGTACCCTTTGCCCTGTTGTGCAATTTGATGGAAGTTATCATCAAGAAACACCGTCTCCGGCTTGAAGGTCATCACCACCTTCTCTTGTCAGCAATGCAGGCTCTCCTCCGTAACCTCATTATCAACCGCAGTACTACTGATACCTTAAGCCAAAGCTCGCACGAGACAAAAGCTCATCGCTATGCCCGTCTTGTTACTCTTATCTGCGAACCAACAGCAGGTGCTGTGTCTCGATCTCAGCACCAGAGTTCTCTTGACTCAGCTACAGATGCGGCAAAGCGTTCAGCTGGACGACATATGTACCTGGTCATGATGCAGTACGTCAAGTTACAGCTTGAAGCTGATGTGCCCCGCCGTGTGAGAGAAGCTCTTGAGCCTGCCATGAACTCCATCTTCGATATCACACCCCCTGAGGTGAGGAAGATTTTGAACGACGCCATGGATGGAAGCGGACGTGCTATTGTGAAGGAAATGTTCAAGTCATATACCAAGTTTGGTAAATGGAGCGGCGTATAAACGGGGACTATAGATATTGATAGATACCACCACATACATAGATATCAGAAAAGCATAGCAGGTTTGTTCATTATTATTATTATTATTATTAAATGGGTATCTCTAATCATTACCTGGATTTTTTGGAACCTGACAATGCATTATTAAGCGCTTGGGGATTTCTTGTTGTACAAGCTTGGGTGGCCGTACTTTTTTGCGTGGCTCTTGATCTGGTGATCAAGAATAGGACGAACAAAGATCCACACAAATGTAGCAAGCAGAGCTCCAAGAACGTCAACGAAGCTGTTCTTGGGAGTGCCACCAAAAGATGCCCACTTCATGAGTGAACCAAGGAAGTTCACAGTAATATGGTGCTGTCCAGCTTCCAGACCCTTGATAGCTACCGCAGCAACTTCATCTGGGGTTTGCTTGGGGTCGTCCTTCTCAATGGTCTTGGTGATCTCGGGCTTATGCTCGTTCTCGCGGACATTACCAGGGGAGAGAATGGTGCCAGGCAAAACTAGATGGACTTGAACATTCTGAGGATACAGCATGACTTCTTGCTGGATACATTCGGCCAGACCTTTCATTGCATACTTGGAGGGGGTGTAGGGAGTGTATCCTGGAGGAGAATAGCAGGCACAGACACTTCCAGTCATGATGAAGTGCTTGGGCTCCTTTTCGACAGGCTTGTCTATAGCGAGCCACTCACGCATAGCGGCATGTGCCATCTCAGCTGTGCCCCAGAAGTTGACGTCCATGTGCTGTCGCATTGACTTCATTTCCATATCGACGAACAATTCGGGGAAGGAGAATCCAGCGATGGTCCAGACGATATCAGGGGCTTGACCATTGTTCCAGCTGATGACTTTTTCGAGGAGAGGCTTCGCGTATGATTCGGCAGAGACGTCGGCGGCGATGTAGTGGAAGCGTTGGGTCTGGGGATTCTTGGCTGCGGCCTGGGGTCAAGTCAGCGTATAATTGTGAAAGCAGATGGAATAATAGCAGCGGACCTTGACGGTGAAGAGTGCAGCTTCGAGTTTACTGGCGCTTCGAGAGACGAGAACAATATTTGCGCCCTTGGCAGACAATTGAGTGGCTGCGCTGAGGCCCATGCCTTCGGATGCACCTGTGATGAGGACTGTCTGTAGGCATTGTTAGTCGTGCTGTGGTAGAAAGGGACTGATCATGAGACGTATCATGATGGGACATACTTTGCCCTCGACGGGGAATTTGTTGCCGCCAAAGAAACCCATGATGAGCCAACCGACAAAAATAGTCACGACAGAGATAGCGATGTAAGTAACGAGTGTCGTTGGGGAGAGATCCATGGCGAGAGAGGGACAGGAGTGTAGATAAACTTGTACTGTAGCTAGCGAGGGGCAGAAAGCAGGGAGATTTTAAGCTGTAATACAGCCCCTGCTAAGTCCGCCTATCCACTAAAATACAGTGTCGTCCCCGCTTATTTAGGTCCCCGAAAGTGGACGCCACAGACCGTTAAGCTTCCATCCAATCCACTCGACAATAACTCCATTTTCCTAACGTTAAGTGGTTTTGACAACCTACCGACCTCTCTCCAGTGCAGTTCAAATGGATGGATGCAACCCCTGGCTTACAGGATGGACAGCATGTCCCTAGGGCTGACATGTTGGATGAATGCAGTCAGATCAATCATTAGCTTTGTTTTTCGCTTTGTGCGATTGGATTCCTCGGGCTGTAAGACGGACATGGACGAGATTAATTCAGGGGTTACTGTCCAACATGGTGCCCTTGTGATGATTCTTTCAGGTACAAGGACGTGACGAGAAATATTTTTATAATGAGATTCTGTAGCAATTCCGTTCCTGCTACAAAACAATCTGATAGGAATTTGCAGAAACTTTATATGCCATAAGAATAGGTACTAAGGTATTAGAGGAAGGACATATCAAGGCCGATGATGAATAGATACATAGTATAAAACTAGTAGCATCGCACTGTATTTCATTTCGTTGTGGCTGAAAGTTGAGGCTGACACGCTTTCTCACACTCGCCCTCTCAGTCAACTTACAAGAAGATAATTGTATTTTGTTTCCGTTAAACTTATTATCAAGCCTCTTTTCTCAACGATGCTCACAAACTCTTGCTCAAATCCACATAAACCATCTTTACAGTAATGGGGATATGACGAAAACTCTGTCGATCGACCAGCACAATGTCCAGCAAGGATGAGGACACCAAGTCTTCGGTACCTAAATTTGCATCTTTTAAGCCAAAATCCGAGACTTCCGACTTGAAAGCACCCAAATTCTCTTCTTTCAAACCAAAATACAAGGATAAGGATAGGGACACACCCACAGGATCTAGCGCTAAGGACGAAGGGCGGGAGCGAGAGCGAGAGCGAGAACGCGAGCGAGATTCCAGGAGGAAACGAAGTCATCACCATTCTGATTCACATCGCGACCATCACCGGCCAAAAAAGCATCGCACAGACTCTCGTGGCCGACACCGTGAGACATCGCAAACTGGTCACTCTGAAGCATTTGAGCACCGCCTGCTCACCAAAGTTACACGAAGCAGTGACGATGCATCGCGTCTGTACATCATTGACACTAAAGGGGATCCCTTAATCATTCGCTATGGAGGTCTTGACCGGTCTCAGGTTCCTGTTTACTATCGTGATGGTTATGGAAAGGTCCTCGGCACACGAGGTCGTCTTGTAATTCATCGCGATGGACCTAGAGATCAGTTCAGTCTACGTATGCCCGGTGAAGGTTCATATGCCTTGAAAGATAGGGATGGTCTGCGCTCCAGAAACTGGCGTATAAGACCTACACCGCTGAGAGTCAGGAAGCAAGAGATCGATAGTCAAGGTGAAGAAGACGGCGACTTTTTGGCACTAAGCTCACCGAAGAAGCGTAAACACTTGCATCGAGCCTCTGAAGAGTCAGAAGATGAAGAGCAACCGACTTATCGATCCATAGAGGGAAAGGCAAAACCACGCCAATATGATGGCAGCGACTTGGAATCCGAGTCAGACGCGGTTGCAGACGATATCAATGTCGACCAGAATAATCCCCTGAAATGGAAGTCGATTCAGCTCTCGAGACGTGTCAAGGACCAGCCAGATGATATAGATGCATGGCTCGAGTTGGCAAACCATCAAGATGCCCTTTTAAGAGCAGGCGAGGATATCGACCACAAGGCGCTTGAAGCTGAGGTACACAGTTTTGCGGAGATCAAGCTGCATATACTTGAATCAGCCTTGTCTAATGTATCAAACCACCAGGATCGTATTCGAGTGCTCATTCCTCTCATGCGGGAAGGCATAAAAGTATGGAATAGCAAAGTCGCCGCCAAGAAGTGGCTTGATCTGCGCGAGGATGAGGATAAGAGCTTCACTCTGTGGAAGACGCATCTTAATTTTTCCATGTCTAATATTTCTGCTTTCCATTTTGACACCCTCAAGCAAATACACCTGGATAGAATACGGCATGTTATATCTCGATCAGAAGTGAACATCGAGCCCGAAGACTTGAGGGAAGCTATCTATGTCTTTCTGAGACTTACCAGGTTCATCCATGACTCTGGTTATAAGGAGCTTGCAGTCGCAGCCTGGCAGGCTTTTATAGAACTCAACTTCTTCCGGCCCATGCCACTGGATGACCAGAGTGCAGCCTTCGGTCCACTTCGAGACTTTTGGGAGAGTGAAGTCCCGAGGATAGGAGAAGCAGACGCTCAAGGTTGGGCGAAATTTGTAGCAGATGGTGGAATAGGCGATGCTCCCGAACCACTACAAGATATCAAAGGACCCGAATGCCAGTCCCGAGATGACTACAAACGATGGGCAACCCTAGAGAGCTCACAAGCCGATCAGGCTCGAATTCCCGCTAGAACCATGGACGCAGGAACAGAGGACGATCCATTTAGAGTGGTGATGTTCTCTGACATCGAGCCACTTCTGTTTTTCGTTCCAAAGAATATGCTACCTGCTGTACAGGAGCAAGTGCTGGACGCATTTCTGATATTCCAGGGATTACCCCCAACATTCTGGTCTGACCACTGGACCGAAGAGGCGTACCATGATCAGTTCCTTGCAGTTTTCACATTGCACATGGAGTCGAGTGCTCCCACACCACTATCGGGAGACGAGGATCCGACTGAGATCCAGAGGAAGTCCCCTCCTTTCCACCAGAACCCTCTTTGCGTCTCGGAAACACTCGACGTCCTTTTCCCTCACTCAGAATGGTTCTCCTATCTACCCTCAAGGAATAGAAAGAATGACGTTGAACTTGGATTTATGGCCAACGCAACGAAGCAACTGGTTCACAATGCCAACTTTGAGGGTTTAGCCACATATCATTTGGCATTGTCTCAAGTTCAAGATGGCTCCAGTGTTAAGAAAGCGGCCAAGTCTTTACTGAAGCGTTATCCAACGAACCTTGGTCTTTACCGAGCGTACGCTATTGCTGAATATACAAATGAAAATCACGAAGTTGCAGCCAAGGTATTGTCATCAGCGACTGAGCTTGTGTCGGTTAGTAATCTGTCTTCTCCGACTTTGACTCGTCGCCATGCTAACGAGTCACTGCAGAACTCACCAACAGCAGATGTGTTTGCTCTTTGGAGAACTTGGTCATGGATGGAACTTCAGAGGGGTGATATACAGCTAGCAGTTCGAATATTATGCTCCTCTGTGGACGATGCTCTTCGAAGGTCGGCTGGAACCCCTGAAGTATCATCGACACATATTCTCAAAGCCCACCGAACTTTCTCGTCTTTGACGAGTGACTTTATTTCCGGTGCGAACCTCGAGGATGCCAGTACTACTACCGAGTGCCTAGTCCTGTTGTCGTACTTGACTTCTGAGAGCTGCACAGAACCGATGTCGGCATCACAAGGAAGTATCTCGGCTGCGATAGAGACAGTGCACCGAACATCTCTCGAGTTCAAGTCCCGAGGCTACCAAGCATCTCGCGCTCATGAGCAATTACTACAGTTTGCGTCGAGGCTACTATACTTGCACGCAAGTCGAGGGTGAGTCTCAATTCAAAGATTGTTATATTATTGCTAACAAAGCCAAGACCTTTTCGTCGCGCATATCTGCTCGAGCAGCTGAAGAAGTTCCTGGTGTACTTCCCGAGGAACACCATATTCTTATCACTTTTCGAATGGGCCGACTCCAGTCTTCGCGTCATTGACGAATCGAGAACGCTTCTGCACGAAACAGTCTTGACTCCAGCTCAGGATTGCCTGAGTAGTCGAATATTTGCCGTCCATCACGAGATCGAACGGGGAAACGTCAACACAACAAAAGCAGCTTTTGAGCATGCCGTTTCAAGCGACACTTGCAAGTTTAACACTTGTTTGTGGATACATTTGATCAGATTCTGCAGCACACAAAGAGAGCTACGATCAAAAGCTAAGGATACCCTGTTCAGAGCCCTGAGACACTGTCCCTGGTCCAAGGATGTCATGATGGAGGCTTTCCTCACTTTGAATAGACAGATGGATTCTTCGGAACTCAAGGGTATCTTTGAGACCATGACTTCGAAAGGCCTAAGAATTCATGTTGATCTGGAAGATTTTTTGGATAAAAGGAAAGATGCGATGCGAGTAGCGAAGAGCCAGCGAGTATAGGAGCCAACTATACTTTGGCACTCCAAATTGAAAGTTACTGTAGAAAGCTTACCACGATTGATGATAGTAATAAACAGGCCAGTTGGTAACTTGAATCAGTCATAATTCTTCACCGGGTTTCCATGTTATTACATTCTGCAAGTCCAGAACGCCAAAAATGATTGGTCGCAAGATTAGACCGGCTTTGTGAATTTATTGAGGAAACTGCTATAGGGGCTCTACATGTTCAGGATTGCTTATGGTAAGATAGTGTCGAGAGCTGACGCTCGCTCGCACCTAAGTTCATCGTAGGAGTTACACCCTTGACCTCGGAAACCGAATACGCCTTGCACGCCGGAGACGCCATCGCCAAACTGTCTAGCATGATGGAATCTTGAACAAAAGTAACACTATGCGCCTGGGAAATAAGAACACGCTCTATAAGCCGCCTTGAATCGAGACGGCCAGAAGGATCGTTCCTAACTGCTTCATGTGCTTGGAATCTTTGACGAAGAACGGGCCATACTCGTTCATCTCGAGAAATGAATCCTTGGTTGCACTTCGAACGCTGCGGGCACAGATGTACTCGACGTACTCGGCATTGAAACTTGCAATGATGAGATAGATCTCGCCGTGATCCTGGGAGACCAGGAGACGTGTGAATCTATTGGACGCAGGCCCAGTCAGGGGTGGAGGGTCTTGGGCTATCCAGGCCGCCATCTGGGCTGTTTCTTGCATGCGAATTCCATCAAGGATCTCTGGAGACGCATTCCGAATGAAAGGCTTAACTTCAATGATAGCGCGGGTGTTCTTGTGGTTGATTCGCAAAAGCCCATCCACGCGTGCTTCGTAGACTTTATCGTTGGCTTTTTTCACCACAAAAGGCTGCCGATAGAGGGACCACTCGCCCTGCACAAGATCGCAATGAAGCGTGAGGGCATTGAGGAGTAGTATCAAGGCGGTATTCACGATCTGTTCATCCTCGGTCTGAACATTCTTTGCATTCTCTCCCGAGGTGGGTGAGTGACCGGAGAGTGTGCTCAGTGGACTTGAACCTGAGGAGTAGTTTGGAGCATCTGGGCCAAGGTTCAGATCCTCCAACAGGTCCATGACACTGTCCATGGCATCAGAAACGTTCGTTCCACCTCTAGGGGCACGAGTGGGTGTTTCAGGGCGCTGGGGAAGGTTGCGGCGAGCTTGGCTCCGAGTCACTCGAGGACTGAAATCAACCTTGGAAAATGCGTTCCCGGATGGCTTCTTGTTTGGCCGAGTAGAGAGCCTTTGGTAGTAGTGGACCAGTGCGAAAGTTCCTCCCATGATCCTTTCCTGAGGCTGGCCCAGAGAGCCGATGTATTTGTTCCAAGGGTCTAGATTATTCAGATAGGAGCTTGCTCTGCTCAGGTTCTGACTGTCTATCCACCTCTTGCTTTTACAGTCCTCCTTGAAAGCAAAAGCTTCGCGAGAGGCTGGCCAGACTGCACGAAGCAACAAGAACTGGGGCTCTTCCACCTTTGAGCCTGACTGCTGAGGATGGTCATGGATAGAAGAGTCGATAACTGCCCGCCGGGTCGCGGATGAAGCCCATTCCCCGAGGGTCCTGGGTAGTTTTGACTCTGCCATGGCTCAAAGTTGGGATAATTTGAAGTAAAGACGGTACAGGATAGATGAGATAAGATGAAGTTGGGTATGCTGGTATGCCTGATATGTAGAACTTTAGTAGAGAAGAAGCAATACATAGCCACGAGACAAACCATTGCCCAGTCTATCTATCTATCTATCTATCTATCTATCTGCCTTCATAGCATAACCGCCATGGGACTATAACAGGCATGCGGTGCCTAGCCGCCCAGAGTTGACAGGGAGTACACCCCCATCGCTATATTTGCGGCTCATTGCGACAAAATGTCAGGTATCTGAAGTCCTGGCGCTTATCTTGAGATGACACTGTGACTGAGGTTTCCAAGGAGGCTCAATATTTGGCCCCGCGCTTGCGGGTTGTTATAACAACCAAACAAACCCAATCAGGGCCCACAATTTACACTACCGCTCGGCTAACCCCGGTGCCTTAGCCTCTGAAACTCAGCCCTGCTTAATACTACATAGCGGACAGCGTCTACACAATAGCCGAGCGCGTGAACAAGAAGACGATACCTCCATATGTGACGAACCTGGCGCTTATTCAGAGCAAGAAGGTCTTGATAAGAGCATCAAGATGCCGCCACAGAGTAGAGCCCAAGGATCCCTCAGTCAAAGGCGACCAGAAAACAACGCCCAGCAAGTTGAAGCAGCAGCCATGAATCGACACAGAAACGATCAAAGACGGGCGAATCTCGAGAAGATCGCCCGTTATATCATTCATCCCCTCAGCCAGTCCCCATACAAACATGTGGGCATGGATTTCCTCAGTCGATGCCGCATCAAATGCAAAGACATGGACTTCAAAACCGGCCAAGTGGGCAAGCAGACAGAACAATTCATCCAACCTATCCCCCCAAAAGTCGTTCAGCAGTGGCTTGATGAGACCAGACCACCGCCCAAGGAGCGTCGAGATATCGTCAATGAATACTCCCACGAGTTCCCTAACGATAATCAGTGGGAGGCTACAATGATATGGAGGCGCATCAACGCGTATATTTCTGAGTCTGAAAATGCCCAGGGAAATTGTGTCATGACCACTCATACTCAATGGCATCATGCGAAGTATGGGCATCCTTTTCTTCTTCTTCTTCATCATCATCTTCTTCTTCTCTTCTTGCCCTTTTCTTTCTTGAGACTTAACAGTAGAGCTGACAACAACTATTAACAGCCCCAGCAATTCCCGCTTTGTCAACCGCCTAGGTGAAGAGAACGCCAACTGGCAACTCAAAGGTGTTCTTCGACAACACCTCCCCAACCAATCAAACTATGATCGCCCTCTTGATCCCAACAGGCCTCACGCTATTTGCTATCTTGCAGACGGAGCAGAACTGGTTGATGACATGCTCTTGACCAGCGAACTCACCACCTTGCTACTCATGGCGACCGACACAGCCCTCAAGACTACTTGGCAGAAGCACAAGCTGATCCCGGTATGGGACTACCTCGAATTCTTTTGCTCTTTCGCTGACACGAGTTACTTGGATAGGTGACTCTCATTACTGGCTCGTACAGGACTGTTCGGGTGTCCCAGTGCATCCTGGATGCAGAGACGGGGAGTATCGAGATACGTAAATCGCCTCTTATTACTTTTGACAAAGGTTTGTTGGCCGAGTGGGCCAAATATTTGACTCTACTGGGCTGGGTGCTCGGTAAGCCAGTAGGGCAGACAGTGTGATTATCACGATATATTATGAGCGTACCTATTTTGTTTCGAGAGTCGTTTTGGGTAGGAGTTTGGCGCAAATTAAGACCAGACGTTACTTGGAAGATTTTAGAAGAGAGCTGCAGCTGGAGGTGCCGGGGTGATAAGTCATCCTGGATATCAAAGTTGAGTTTCCCTCGCATGTATGTGAAAGTAAAAGTGTTCAGAGCAATATGTGTGCAAGTCTACATAAGGTAGTAAAGGGCCTCACCGAGCCTTAGCAGTGACCGTGATTTGCATCGTGAACCTAGTTCAGCTGAGTACTAAAAATAGCACACACCATAACTAGGTAGGTATGCATAACAAAATCATGAGATCTGTAATAATACTCAAAGAAAGTCATCGGATTTATGTAGAGTATGTAACAAGCACGGCTGTGTACCTTTCTTTGACAAGTCGTCATGGCTTTGTTGTGTTGTGTTGTGCTGTGCTGCGCTGTGTTGTCTGGTGGGGTCAGAACAGGGGCGTTTAGGGGTCTTGGAGTCTTTATAGCGGGTCTAGCGCTGAAGCTGAAGCTGTCGTGAGCTGTCTTGGGCCCGAGCTTGATTGAATGTGAGACCATAGGTTGGATGTGAGATTGAAATGAAGGGGAGAAGAAGATGTGGCTTTGATAGACCCTTTAATAGCTGAAGAAAAGAAGAGGCCGCCAGCTGTTGACTAATTCACTGACTGTTGATCACCTAACTCAGTTTCCTGTTTTCTTTCAGTAACTACCTACCTAACGACCTTGATCAATTGGAGGTTCTGAGTCTAGAACATGCAGGGCCCAGTTACAGCTGGAGACGCCAGTGAAAGCCAAGTTTTGGCTCTGGCTCTGGGTCAAGGTCAGACTCAACGACAGCGAATAACTTCACGAATCCAACATCACTTGATCGCCCTCTCCTTTCTCCGCTCTCTCCGCTCTCTCACCTCTTCAAAGGTTAGAAAAAACAAAAACCCACGTCAAAATCATCACCACAAAACCAAAAACATGGCTCATGAGCTCAAAGCTGGCGGAGGTGCCAGCGAAGTTACTCGCTCCCTCTCCAACGTCGACCCCATCATCAGCGGCCAACTCGTCAAGCTCTTCCAGTCTCTGGCCGATCGACAAGACAAGACCTGGAGCAAGGAGAGACTTGCCTCCTTCATCACAGATGTTCAACAAGATGTCTCTTCACCCGCTGTCCAAGAGCTTCTCGCCAGAGACCACCTCGATCTGGATGGCTTCATGGCCTGGATGACGTCGTCTCATGCAGCGGCTACAACCCCGCCTAGACCCCAAGATCTCTCATATCCCCTTGCTTCCTACTTCATCAGCTCCAGCCACAACACTTATCTCACCGGGAACCAACTCTCAAGTGACAGCTCGACCAGGCCTTACACCGAAACTCTGCTGCGGGGCGGGCGCTGTATCGAGATCGATGTCTGGGATGGCGATGAGTCTGACCCCGAGGGCACGAGTAGTCCTTCCAGCAGCGATGAGGAGAGAGGTGTGAAAAAAGTTAAAGTTGTAAGAAAGACAAAAAACAAAAGCACTTTTGGAAAGCTCAAAGAAAAGCTCGCAAAGACGAGCCTCCATGATAAGGATGAGTCCTCTGACCCCAACCCCGACCCCGCCTCCGGCCAACAGCCCTCTCCCGCTCCCGCTCCCGCTCCCGCTACCGCTCCGGGCGCCGATCCCGAGTCTACAGAGCCCGAAGTCGCTATCGTTGAGCCCCGTGTGCTGCACGGCTACACCCTCACCAAGGAGATTTCCTTCAGAGCTGTCTGTGAGGCCATTCGCGAGAGCGCCTTTGTTGTTAGCGACTTGCCCGTCATCGTCTCCCTTGAAGTCCACTGCAAACCGGACCAGCAACTTGCAATGGTCCGCATTATGAAGGAAGTCTGGGGCGACCTTCTCGTCCCAGAGCCCGAGAGCGAACCTGATGCCCTACCCAGTCCAGATGAACTGCGTCGAAAGCTCATCGTCAAGGTTAAGTATGCACCACCTGGTGCAGATGCCACTCAAGAGGAGAGTGAGGAGGAGGACAGGGCACCAGCCCCCGGTGCTCAAGCTGGTAATGCTCCGCCAAAGAAGCCGGCAAAGATTATACAGGAGCTGAGTCGTATGGGCTTCCATGCGCGGGGCGTGTCTTTCAAGAGCTTGACTCAGCCAGAAGCTGGTATGCCCACACACATATTTTCCCTGTCAGAGAAGAAGGTCATCGATGTGCACGAGAAGCAAGCGTCTGATCTGTTCAACCACAATCGACACTTTCTCATGAGAACTTATCCTTGGGGTCTGCGAATAGGATCATCCAATCTCGACCCTTCTGTTTTCTGGCGCAAGGGTATTCAGATCGTTGCGCTGAATTGGCAGAGGTGGGATGAGGGCATGATGCTCAACGAAGGCATGTTTGCTGGAACAGGAGGATATGTCCTCAAACCTCAAGGTGCATACTCATTCAAAGCCATCTCATGAAACATTCATCTAACTTCTATTAGGCTACCGTCCAAACCGCAACGACGAAGAAACCGAAAATACCATCATCCGGAAATCACTCCATCTCACAATCACAGTCCTCGCCGCTCAAAACATCCCCCTCCCACCAGGCGACACATCCACCAGAGGCTTTGAGCCCTACGTCAAAGTCGAGCTTCACGTCGAAGGACCTGATGAATTCCACGGCGGCCCTGTCCCTAACGAAGGACACGAGCGTGAGGGTGAATACAAGGCCCGCACAAAGACACACCGTGGCAACATGGTTGACTTTGCTGGTGAACGTCTCGAATTCCCCCCTGTGCCTCATGTCGTCGATGAACTCTCATGGGTGCGATTTACAGTGCGTGATGATGAGATTGGAAGGGATGATTTGGCGGCTTGGGCTTGCATGAGACTCGATAGGCTGGGTAATGGGTACCGGTTTGTGCATCTCATGGATTGCGAGGGTCGCATCACGGATGGTGCGATTTTTATCAAGGTTGATAAGAAGTTGGTTTAGCTGGGATGAAGCGGCAAAATGATGATGTGATTCTATGTTCTATTTAACTTGCATATGCGTACAATGAGAGCGTTTTTCACAAAGGATAATATTGCTTATTTAGTTCAATTCAACAGCTAAACCCAGAGACCGGATATGTCAGTGTCGCTCACCCGTCAAGATAGCGACGGACACTGTATGATTGAGATAGAAAACACTAGCATAACTTTGTTCTCTGGAAAGACTTATATAAGGGATCTTGTGAAGCATTTCTCACGAGACATCTGGTTGAAAACACAGACACAAATGAAATTCAATTCAGGAGCGAGGAATATATCATCTCACTCGATAAGTAGCTAACACTAACACGCTAGAATCTCTCTCAAGCATCCATACTTAGTAGTCGTTGTCACCACTGTTCTTGTTTCCCCTGAGCTTGTCCTCAACCTTGTCCTTGACCTTGTCGAGGAAACCACCTGATCGGCTGTTGTCGTTGTCGTTGTCATTGTCACGGCCAGATCCGTATGTGTTGCTGGAACCATAAGAATCGTTGTCCTTGTTGCTGGAGCCATAGGAGTCGTTGTTGCTAGAGCCATAGGTGTCATTGTTGCTGGAGCCGTATGTGTTACTGGTGCCGTAAGAGTCGCTGCTCTTGTTACCGGAACCGTAGGAGTCGTTGTTGCTGGATCCATAAGAGTTGTCGTTGTCGTTGTCTCGGCGGCTGGAGCCGTAAGAGTCATTGTTGCTGGATCCATAAGAATCGCTGTCCTTGTTGCTAGATCCATAAGAGTTGTCGTTGTCATTGTCGCGACGGCTGGAGCCCTGATATTTACGTTAGTTATGGAGGATTTGCTTGGCCTGACAATTCACGTACGTAGCTGTCGTTGCCGCCGCTCAGACCTGAGTTACCGGACGAGCCATAAGAGTTGTCGTTATCATTGTCACGACGGCTTGAGCCATAAGAGTCATTGTTGCTGGATCCGTACGAATCGTTGTTGCTGGAGCCATACGAATCGTTGTTGTCACGGCCAGATGAGCCCTGAGCTGTGTTAGTATATGCGAGAATAAAGGACTAGTGTGCACCCACGTAGCTGCTGCTGTTGTTGTTGCCAGAGCCATAAGAGTTGTCGTTGTCATTGTCACGGTTGGACGAACCGTAGCTGTTGTCGTTATCACGGTTGGAAGAACCGTAGCTGTTGTCGTTGTCGTTGTCACGTCGGCTGGAGCCCTGAGATAGAGTTAGCTTCATGGGAGGGTGGATAGAACTGAGAGAACATACGTAGCTGTTGTCACCGTAGCTGTCAGACATGTTGATTATTGAAGGGGTTGGTTTGAGAGAGAATAGATAGTTGGTGATGTAGATAGTAAGATTGTGCAATAGTATGAATGAGAAATAGTCCGAACATGAGAGGGCAAGCTTCTGTTTAATACCTATGTGAGAGAAGCTCCCTCCCTCCCCCTCCAAGCTAACTTGGAGCTCCCCATCTTCATCATGTGGATCAACAAGCTCCCCCTCCCCCCTCCTCCATCACAGGGAGGAATGACGTGCCGCTGTTCCATTGCGGCATAGACCTTGTCTTAGAAAGCTGAGGCTACATAAACTAGTGAGCAGAATGTTTTAGCTTCGGAACACCCCATGTACTGTACGTACCCTGCAACCTGCGAGACTTGGTAGATGGGTATCATAATCCTGAGACGATGTGATCATGTCCCACAAGGAACGCGCGTTGACTGAGCTACATTGTTGTAGCTGTCGTGCCATGAGGTACATGTGCTCAGCCCAAAGCTAAGTTTAGCCTGGGAATTTGAAGCCGGTGATCAAACTCTTGGGACTCGCTGTAACCCGAATGTCCTTGGAATAAGCTCTCCGTGATAGACCCTGCCAAGAAATCGAACGTAGATACATCTCACGATACTTGGGTCCTTTGATGCCCCTCCTCTTCCTCCTCTATCACTCTGTACTGTATGTACTATATTTGCTTTTCGGCAAAAACCTGTTGTTTGTGCATTGCTTAGCCAGTGAGTGCGGCATTCCCACGAATCAGCCTCTTAAGCAAGCAATTGGCACGATCAGCACGTCTCAGCTTTGTCTTGTCTGGTGTCGTCATGTTTCCTGTCTGTGATGAGATAGCTCAGGCAAGATACGTATTGCAGCCTCTCAGGCCATTGATCTGCCTGAAAAGCGCATTAGCCTTGATCTAACAGGGAAACGCTAGGCCAAACAAGCAATGAACGGACCCTCCGCGACCCAGCTTTGCAGGGTCCAAACCAGGTCCCAGAACCTGGACGAGCTGACCTGTAGGCTCCACGGACTGTGGCTATGCCAGCTCTGAGCTGTATTGGTACCAAGCTATCGGCATCGAGAACCAAGTTGCGGTCTAACAACAAGAGTCCAGATCTTCAGGGCCCGGGTGATCGACTCACATCAAGGCCGAGGAGCAACGGACATGAACTTTGGCGTGAAGCTTCGCCATGAAAGACAAGGTGAAGCAGAAGTGGACACTTGAGAGGAAGAATCGGCATCAGAGGATGAAATTGTCTGAGTGACATTCCCTCCCCCTCATTTGCCAAGACGGGGTCTAAGTCAAGATCGCGCTCGGAATCGGGCCTAGCAACCTTGTCTCGACTCCCCGCTCAAGTTCCAGAACAACTGCTCACTCTTGATAGTGAGAGAATACTCCATAGGTGCTGTAGCAATGGCAACCCCGCTTCACCAGGACCCTTGCCTTGGCAATTGATCCATCGATTGCCTATCGTAGCTTGTTTCCTTGATATTGATGAGTGCATTCCCAGATTTTCATATCTATTAAGGTCATATTATCTTATATGAGCCGGGTATAACTTGCAATCTTCGTCCCCAAACAAGTTCACCAGGTTCTGAGTTGGTGGCAGGCCAACACGCCTCGCTGTTCGGTATTCCTCAGACCATCACACCAACAAAGACATCCAAGCTAAGCCAAACTTCTGGGCATCCAGTTCGTGCCCTGTCCAATACTCTCAGTCCCCACGTGTGGTGATTGCCCGTTCTCAGCAAACTATCGTCGCCCGGCGTGCCCGGCTTCGTCAACGGAGACATACCCAATTCCTAGTAGATCTCGATCTGTCTCGAACACAAATCGCCTATTGAGGCTAGATACTCAAGCACAAATGACACAATTGCATCAAGACTCGCGACAACAAGCCCAACACCAGTGACGCCCACATGCTTCCTCCGGGATCCCCACGATAGCCAGATGATCAGCCCAACAGCCCGAAACCCCTTGAAATGTTTCACAACGTCATCATTCCAGAGCGTAACTAAAGTTGCGAATAACTGCCGCCTGAGTTACTTTGTCACATCCTTAATGCAACGTGCAACAAGCTGGTCTTTGACTTTACGGCAAGCATACACTTTCTGATCAGGCAAGGTCAAGAATTCATCCAGAACAGTGCATACGCACTATGGCAACATTGTGCCGAGGGATGTCATCTTTACAGATGGCTAGACCTGTCAGGCCCAGGAAGCGCGCCGCTCATCATGGCAGGTTCCGCGCTTGCACCGAGAATCAGTGCTCGACCTCCTCGAGTTCCCCACCAAGCTACCCCAATAGCTGCTCGTTCCACGTCTAGCTCTCCACTAACCAGAATTTGCAAGAACCGTTGCTTGACTGGTTCCCTTAATACGGGATCTTCAATTTCATTCATGGCTTGAGCAGCAATCGTAAACCATTCTTCCACCAGAGGAAGAGGTAGGTATGGAAGTGAATCAACTAGAGCTAAAGCAAGTGAACTCTGCTGAGAATGACGTTCCTCCTGAGTCTCTTCCATCGCAGCTTGTGCGATGATATCTGCTGTTGGTGGCAGCAGACTCGTCGACGCCGTGGAAATTGAAGTTCGAAGCATCTCTAGAAGTGTCTCCGATAGCTGCGGCTCCAGCTCTGCGATGGGGAAGGGAGGTGATACTATCTGCATCACAGTCTTGAAGGCCACTCTGAATTGACGCGAAGAGATATGCTGCGGGAATGAGTTGAACAACAGAGCGATATAGAAAGGTGTGAGTTCGATGGTGAGAGGGCTATGTTGAGGGCAAGATATGGTTGATAGAATGGCGCTATGTGCGGATTCGAAGATCTCAACCATATTTTGTGTCGTGGGTCCTTCATGTGAGATATATGCAATTGCTGGTTTGATTATGAGAGCATCACATGCATCGGTTGGTAGAGTAAGTGGCAAGTGTTCAGAGATATTAAGATAGAATAGGTCCAAGGTTCTTTGTAGATATGTCGTTGATGTTGATGCATCTTCGGAAGGTCGGAATTCCTGGAGGAAACTGTGGCAAGCAGGGGCACTCCGAGAGATCGAGTCGATCGAAGTGAGGTATGTGAAGTTGTACACTTGGAACGCGTTGTTGCCGTTCCTTGAGGAGATGAAGAAGATGTTGCGTAATATGCGAAGAGATTTTGATGCGATGACAGGAGCAGCCATATCGTTGAGCATGCGCGGGTCGAGGAGGCTTCGTGAGACAATCGCCTGCAGAATAGCAACCGTCCCAAACATGAGCTTCCTCAGCAGGTTCCATAGAACTGGCCAGGTGCTTGTAATGGTCTCCTGGGTCAGCATATTGCCCTCAAGCGCTGGATCTATGTCGCTCAAACGATTCACCCTCCACATATCCAATACCTGGCTGCTAAAGGCAAGAAGAGCGTCTTGTGCGGCAATCACAGCCTGTGTGTCTGTGGCCTGTTGAACAGCATACCCAGCAAGCTTCGCCAGCGGCCCCATGTTGGCTAGAGTAGGTCGCCTATCCAGCTCCTGGATAAATCGAAACGAGGGCGTATTTGGCGACCATGCGAGAAGATGGTTTGGTGATTCGACAACCTCGGAGCTCACTGCCGCCAAGAATTGGCCGTGGCCGAGGCCCTCCTCAGCTGTCACCGTCCATACAATAAGAGGCAATAGAGCATTGCAGTTGATGAGACTTCGATGGAAGTCAGACAGCAATGGAAATGCAAAGTTAAGTGCCATGACAACCGATGCGCCTG